ACCACCAAATAATATTCAATTGAACTTTGTGAGTAAAATCTAACTTTGAATTTTCATGTTCTGAATATGAAGTAAAATGTAACTCTATGTTAATATTTAGAATATTTGTTTTGATCTTCGTTCAAGTTCCAATGGTGATGGAAGAGTTGTAATGACAGAAAAACCTGATACACCTAGTCCAATATTGATGCCTGAACCTACTCCATATGTTCAACAGCAACAAGCTGTTGTAAGTGTGATAATTTTACTTATTAATGGGATTTCTTTTTGTATAGTATTTGAGATTTTGATGAAATGTTTCTATTGTTATTATTTTCTAAGATGAAGAAATCATTATAGGTACAGTCGATTGCAAGCCCAGAAGAATTGCCAATACGAATGTCAGTTGTGGAGCAAGCTCAACAGCCAATGGTTCCGTCTATATCTACTCAAATTATTGTTGAAGTACCCAGTCCTGTGATCTTAACGAAACCGAGTAATATTATGGTAAGAGATATCTTCCAAGGCATATTATGCGGTTATTCATCGAAAAAAGTAGTCTAATCAAAGTTATGACAGACAATTATTCTTATGGACTGCATTGGAACCGAGAAAAATACTTGAAAAAAGCATATTTTTATATTTGATAGTGATTTTTTCCCCTAAAGAAGTTTGTTGATAATCGTCATAAATAGTTTATTTCTTTAGCAACAACCTGAATCAAATACTGTGATTCAAACTTTCTCAGCACCAATTATCGAGGTATGTACAATCTCAGCATGTGTGTTTAGTAGCTGTTTCTTATTTTATTTCTCTATTTTTATCGATATCATCTCAGTAAATAGTTCAAAAGTTATCAAAGATGCGTGCCGTTCTAACTTCTAAGGAGGCATACGAAATTTATCGGCGGATCATAAGTTTTCATGGAAAAAATTAGTAAAAGTACACTAATTGATTCCAATTAGATAGATGAGTATTATATCATGCTTCGAAAAATTGTTCATTTCTTACCCACGAAAAGAAATGTTTCACTTAATTGTATTGCAATATGAATTTATTCGTACGATATTTAGATACAATCAACACTGGAAGCAAGTGTTCAAATTCTTCCATCACCGATTATTTCTGCACCTGTACGTATTAACTTTCAACATTTGATTGAAATTAATATCTTGCTCGATATTGTATTCCTTAGTTAAGAGTTCAAATATCACCATCTCCGACAGCTATTGGTACACGTACTTTTGATCAGCCTTCGTCGATCGACACTGAAGTGTCAGTAGTCATTCAACAGCAACAGCCTGTTGTATCACCTCAGTTACCATCGCCAGTTATAAGAACTATCTTTAGCGACGTAAGAGAATCTTCGAAAATAAGAAAATTTCACTCAAAACAAGTAGTCGTCAGTGTGTCGAAGAGACATAAGCAAAATCAATCGTGATTTGTGAGATTTTTGTTTTTAATTCTTACTTTTTATATACAGATACGCTCTCCTGCGCGAGAAACAATTCTTACACTACCATCGCCGATGGTTGATGCACCTGTAAGCATAAATTATATATCTACCATGATAAAAAGATTTTTAATTCTGATTCTATTTTGAAATAGAGAATTGAAGCATCAGCAACTATTGCAATTGTCGAACAGCCTGTCAATATTCAACGAACAGTTGACACTCGGCCACAGCAAGCGATAATCTCGCCGTCTTTACCACTAGTTATTGTAGAAACTATTTTTAGTCCGGTAAGAATAATTTAGAGTAGTAAAACCAATTACATGAAAGCAGAACATTGTATAAGATAGAATCTCGCAAAATGAAATATCGTTTTTAAAATTAGTTGTTGTTCATTTTCGTAGATTAAATTATCAATCAACAAAGTCCAACTATTAGATTGATTTAAAAGCTGTTTCGGAAATAATGTTATGATTTATTGGGAAGATTGAGTCACAAGAATATTAGTATTATTAATCACATGAAGAATGAAAAGAAATACAGATGTTGATCGTGTAATCAGAAAATATGCGATATGATTTTTGAGCAGAATTGTAATAGATAGTCAAGATTGACAGTGCTAATGAGAAATTTGCATTTGAAAGAGAGATTACTTTACTTGTAGTAAAACTCTATTATGTTGAGAGGAGATCCCGAATACATCACCTAATTTCCTAAAACATTAACTGATCACAAGAGCAGATCCATATCACAACTTAGTCAGCATGCTGCCGAACAATTTATTTGAGACAAATAACCTGTAGTGACTTGTCCATTGTCATTCCATGGTTGATGACACCGAGGTTTAAATAGAGTAACTCGTGACTGCATGTCAAACACCGTCATCACTCAATCATAGCGGTTATACTCAAATAAAATTTGCAATGAGTTCTTTGGATAGTGGAAATCTTAGACTTTCTAGTACATCTTGTCTCGAAAGATGAATATAGGAAATTCGCTTATTTACTTATTGAAAAGAATTTTCAATGTTAATATCAGAGGACATAAAACATTAAAAAATCTTATACTATGAGAAAGAACTAACCCTTTTAAGACCTCTAATAATGAAAAAGTAAAGCTGAAATGCTCATTCAATGTATCAATCACATGATTACAATCCAAGAAGAAAGATTCGTTCGCATGAAACCGTTCAGGTTTTTACATGAAAGATAATGTATCATGCTTTACAGCATTCATTCACTCTTACTTTCTTTTAACGTTTAGATACGCTTAGCTCCTCAAGAAACAATTCTTACAATGCCATCACCAGCGATTAATGCACCTGTATGAATGAATTTTATATTATCAATAAAAGTAAAACTTCTTAGTTGTTATTTTGCATTGAAATAGATCGTTGAAACATCAGTATCAATATCACTTATTGAACAGCCTGAAGTTAAACAACCTTCAATAGTTAACATTCCACAACCTGCTTCTAGTTTTCAACAACAACCTGTGATTGCGTCTCCTACTCCGACGACTGTAATTAGTACTATCTTTAGTTCGGTAAGAATAATTTCATCAATGTACTACAAAAGATATTGTACACTACTTTTTTTTATATTCATTTAACGGTTAGATCTTATCAGTTCCCCAAGCAACTATTCTTACATGTCCGTCACCTATAATTGACGCACCTGTAAGCATGAACTTTTTTATATTCGATAAAATTAAAATTTTTCACTATCAATTTTTACTTTAGCAGACTGTTGAAGTATCAGCAACTATTCAGCTGATTGAGAAACCCATTATTTATCAGCCTTCGCCGATAGAAACTCCACGAACGGTCATGATTCAACAACAAAAACCTATTGTCTCACCGTCTATATCATCACCAGCCATTATAAGAACCATTTTTAGTGAAGTAAGAAAAACTTAGGTGCAATACAAATCAATAAATTGAAGCAAAGCACTACTTAGATGAAAAAATGAATAGCGTCAATTAGTTTCTTGAACAGACCAAAGAAAAAATATCCATTATACTTTTCGAAATTTATTCATCTTTATTTCTTTTTAATCTATAGATACTACCTGTTCCAGAAGCAATAGCTCTTAGTCTACCATCACCTGCAATTGATGCACCTGTAAATATGAAGACTTTTATATTTTCTATGAAAATATACTCCTTAATTGTGATTCTATATTGAAACAGATAGTTCAAGCGTCAGCAACTATCTTAACTATTGAGAAGCCTGTTGTTTATCAAGCTTTGCCGGTCGATATTCCACAAGAACAACCGATAGTTTCGCCTACTGTGCCATCTACTATCATAAAGACGATCTACAGTCCGGTAAGATTAATTTGCAACGATAATAATCAACATATTGAAGCTAAACGCTACTTGCAAGGGTACTTTCCTAACTGACATCTACGGTTTTATCTCATATTGGACTCATAGATAGATCACAATGAGACTAACAAAGGCCTAAAAGAGCTCGGCTCCATGGGCCTTTATCGCCAAGTTATGATCGGTTTACTAAATTTTCGATTCATTTATAAGTAGTAGTTCCCGAAAAGTCGAACGACTCATTGAATATCTTGAAAGGTTCAATGGAATAGAGTGTTTCTTCATCAAGGTATTGAATTTTCAAAAATAAAACTTTTATACGAACTCGACGAAGGAATATTCTAAGAATAATCAGATCTATTTTTAGGCAAAATTTTCGATCAAAACTCCTTTATTCGATCTTCCACTTTTTATGAGTCGAAAAAATCATATACAGCACTCATGTCTTGGAACATTTATACATCTTCATTTTGTTGTAATATATAGATACAATCAGCTCCACAAGAAATAATTATCACCATCTCATCACCTGTTATAGAATCATCTGTAACTATAGACTTTTTATCTTAATTGAAAAATTATTTTTCTGCTCTTTTTTTGTTGTTTATTTTGTAGCCGATAGTTCGTACATCAGAGACAATATCTATTATCGATAAGCCTAAAGTATATCAAGCTGTACCTATTGATTTTCAACCAAAAATATTAATACAAGAACAACAACAAGTCATATCACCTGTTGTAACGCAACCTGTCATGATGCCTTCTATGCCAGAAGTGGCTATAAGCACTATCTATAGTTCGGTAAGTAATATCTTTCGTGACAAAAACAATTTAAAATTTGTTGAAGCTATCTATTAGTTATCATATGGTGTTTATGATACAGATAACTGTGTATGATGATAAAAAAAAAAGGCACCTACTCGTTAGAATTCAAATTTTCATCGTATACGACCGTTTTGGCGAGTTTGAATACAAAAACTGTATAGAAATTCAATGTCTCCTCTTAAGCAATCGTATTTCTTTGTATGTGATACGGAGAAATACATTCCTGATATTGAGCCATGTAATACATTATTATATAACGATTTACGAGCGTGATTGTTCGACCTCGGATGTCTTTACACGTGACGATGATTATTCAATGCTGTATATATGAGGATATAATGCAATAGTTATTAGCAATTAGACTGTAAGGCTGAACAAAAGATTATGATTAACTAAAATTGCATTATTTGAATATGAAATATTGCCTTTTTTTAAATAGACGTGTCGCTAATGTAAACTACTCGAATATTTTCAATTAAAAGTTTTTATTTATTTAAAATATTCAAATTTTCAGCATTAAATCTCTGCAATTAATATCCGATAAAATAAATTTTCATTCACATTACTCAATTATCATTTGAAATTTAAAATAAAATTTTAAGACTAGTACTAAAGAACACTAATGAACAGAGTTATAATAATGCAACGATCAAACATTTTGACAAAATTTTTGTTGCACATATAAACTGAACTTCATTAGAGCAGCATGCCATATTCAAAATCGGTTTTTCTTTATAAACATGCAAAATAAATTCTATATTACAAAAAAAATTGCTTTTGTGAAACGAATCGTTTTATATCTAATTGCATCTATATGCATGTCTTTATTCTATCAGTCTAGAATCCAGTGAATCCGGTCTCGATAAACTTGTAGTTTATATGATGGATAATAGTTATATACATATACATATATTGATTTTCATATATCATAGCCAATAATCGACAAACAACCAATCATACCAATTATGAATCCATCGGTACCTATTGTCTCACAAGAGACAATAGTAATACAACAACAACAACAACCAGTTATTCCGTCTCCTAGTACAATTAATATTATAAAACCTATATCAAATCCGGTAAGAAATATTTTTGTAATTGATTTTTATAGTTTGCAAATCTCACTTCGATATAATACTTGATATATACAAGTTTATCTAAATTGAATCATAAGATATGCAAAGATAAGGTCTGTATGAATGAATTCGAATCACACTTTGTATTAGAATGCATTATAATCAGAAATTCAGTAAGAATATAAAATGACTGTTAACAATTGATGATAATATCATATTGAAAAGTAATGTTCTATTTTTAATTCATACATTTAGAGAATTTCAGCTCCAACCTACGACACTTTATCATCACCAATTATCACAGTATGTTTAAAAATTAACATATTTTACATTTAATAGAAGTAGTTTTCAAGTTCAATTAATTTCCGGAATAGAATATTTTGTGATAATTTTTCTGAAAACTATAAAATCATTGATTGTACAGATCAATATGTTCGATAGTTTATTTTTATAATTGATTTCATCAAGTAAAGCATGTCAGATAATAAAATCATGCATGGTATTTTCACCTTTGTTTAATATTAATACTGTGTGTTTTTGTAGGCACAAATGGCTGTACAAATTGTTGAGCACACATATTCATCTAGAATCTTAGTATGTATCATGAAAAAAATACATAACATCGAATAGAATAATTTTGATTATTTTCTCTAGCCCAGTCCATCAATTGCTGTTACTTCTAGTTATGCTCAACCAATCGAGCAACAGCCTGCTATTGAAAGACGTTTACCAAGTGAAATCCTTTCATCTGTATCTATTGAAGTAAGTCTTTTGAGAGTAGTAGAGCCCGATGAGACGAGTCCAGAGATCTGAAAACTTTAAACTCTACTTGAAAGATGATTTTTTACGAAAAACTTGAATAGAAATAAACATATTTCTAATTCTTATGTACACTTTTACGACTATCGGCGTAAAAATATAGTGAACATAGATGTTTTTATAAAATGAAATACTGTATTTCGATTTTTAATATGGTAAATTCTTAGAAAAAGCCTTCTCGTTCGATGTACGCGAACCTCAGTTTCGCAACTGTTTTTATTCAAGCGTTACAAGGATTTTCCTGATGCTCTGATTTCAGCAAATTCACATCAGAAGATCTTCAGACAAGGATTATTCATCACACTGCACTGAATAATAATGTTTATTCTCAGTTTCAAAACTACTTAAGACTATTATTTCAGTATTTTTGAAATTTCAAAAATTTCCCCTAAACTATATAAACATCGAAATTTAAAAATCTTGAAAAAATGGTTTCAAGTCACTTTGGAACAGAAAATAAATATCACTATTCGACTCAGTGTGATGAATAATCATTGTGTAGAGCTTATTCGAAGTCTTGTAAGATCACCATGGTGAAATCGAGGATCTCAGAAAAATCCTTGTAACTCTTTCAAGGAAGCGTGAGAACAAAATATTGAATAATTAGTTTCTGTACCTAAAAGCAAAATAGTCGAAAATATATTCATATAATCTCTTATTTATCTATAATAGATTCAAGCGCCAACAATACATATGATTCCGTCACCGATCATTGTAAGTATTAATCAAACAAGCTTAATATATTAATTAACTTTTAATTTTTGAATAGTTACCACCTATAATAGAGACAGATCTACCGATTCCTTCATCAATTCCATCTTCTCGAATGAGTACTGAAATGTGCAATTGTCAATGTCCAATCAGTGGATTAGTACCAATTGTTTATAATAATCGTCAACAAAGTTGTACAATTGGTACGAAACGAAAACGTCGAGATCATCATTTTATCGATGATGGTGATGATGATGATTATTATCATCCCAGACCAATTGACTAAATTTTAATTTTTTCGTGTTTTATATAACTCTACTGACTATTGATTATATTTGTTGTTGTTTCTTTTTTTTTTCGACATTGAAAATATATTAAGAAAAAAGTGCGGTGTTTGCAAGGCGAATGCATTCTCATATAGAGTCTAGAAATATTATTATTGTCGATATTCAAATTAATAAAGTATCTTTTTTAATTTCTTCGTAAGAAAACAAGAAAAATAACAATCATTTTGAATATTAATAACGATGTTTTAATAACAATGAAGCTATCGAACAAAAATAGAAAGTCTAAATAAGTTTCAAAGTCAATATTACTCATTAACTGAAGAAAACTTCGTGTAATGTATTCATTTATTTTAATAGAGAAGCAACTGTTCAGTATGTCACATAAGCCATTAATTCAATTTATTTTCTTGTTTTTTGAGTATATCGTTGAAAGATAATTTCAACAAGAAATTATTCTAATACATATATGCCAGTTATGATCAGCTTTTGTAACCTATTAATTTCGTGCAATTTCTTTGATGAGATTTATTCATAATATATCAGTTTGAATGAAAATGATTAGCCAGTTGTTTCAAAATATTGTTAAAACCATTGTTTGCGAGGTCTTTTGAATAATATATAAAGACTAATATTAATATATTAAGTAATAACAACCCTATATCATTGTTGTAATTCAATTATTTTTAAAATAAACAATACTTATACAGACATCGTCTAGGGTATCGTTTATACTCTTTCAATGTCTATTTGATTTCTAAATTCTCTACGTCAAAGAAATATATTAATAAATTAAATCAAAAAGGATCATCCTATCTTTCCATAATAAAACTCTCTTGTTAAAAACTATATTTATTTTAGTATCATTCTATTCGAGCTACATGAAAAATATATCAAACTATAGATAACCGTGGCATTAGGTTTACAACTACAAAACATTATTGTTTCAAGACAAAGTGTAGGCGATATATATGATGGCAAACTTTTTAAACAAAAACATATCTACAGTTTTTAGTTAGTATTAATTATAAACATATATCCCTGAAAGAGACTAGAACGAAAGAATAAAAAAGAAACAAACGGTTCTCGTTTATTTTAGCAAATTGTATCAAAACAATTTGTTTTAAAATAGTCTTGACTACTAACAAAAAACAACACAAAAATATTCACAAAGATTAACAATGTCCTTAGTATTATTTCGTTGGATAGTATTTGTCATCACTATATTTTGTTTCTTCATAGATGCTAATGTTCAAGCAAAAGGTAGATAATTGTTTTTTCTTTCAACTTATTTCTTCCTGGTTTTTTTTTTTACATAGATATACATGTATCTAATGCATCCAGTTTTACTGACCATGAACATTTGGTGAAAATAGATCCTCCATCTATACCAGTGCATAACGGTATTAATGAGATTTTTCTGTAATTCTTCTTTTTCGTAAACTATACTTTTTAGATACTAGTCGAGATAATGAAGGTGCAGATCATGATTCTGAACCATTAAGAAATAATGGACGAGGAACACATGAAGCTAATTCTCAAAGTAAATATTTCAAAAATAAAATGACTTTGTTTTTTTTTTCTTCTTCGTTTTAATTAATTAGATTATGCTGCTGAAACGAATGGAACACATGGTACACCAATAGAAGAATTTCAACAAGCAATTCTTGATCAACATAATAAATATCGTGCACAAATGAATGCTGGCAATCTTCAAAATAATAATGATTTACATGAAAAAGCACAAAAACGTGCACATGCTGAAGCTAATGAACAGCCCATACAATTATCAAATGATTATAATGAAAATGTTTATGTAATTGATACAGGCGATCCATCAAAGATAACTGGTGAAATTTATTTTATTTTTTTAATTTTATTTCTTATATTATATTTAGGTGAACTAATTGTCAAGGCTTGGTATGATGAACGTTATCATTATAATGTTAAAAATGAATCTTCAGCTCCGCATTTTTCACAATTAGTATGGAAAAATTCAAAAGAATTAGGTATTGGTCATGCTTATAATGGTCATAGATTATTTGTTGTTGCTCTTTATAAACCTCCTGGAAATATTCGTGGTCAATTTCAAGCCAATGTTGATGTTGATTCTCATGGTGAACACAAACCAGCGAATAGATAATATAGTTCGATTATTTCAGATGGAGAAAAAAAAATCATTAAGATGTCCGGAAATAAATACGTTTGCTCGTAACTTTCATTTTTTTTTTCTAATTTTATTTCCTATACAAAATCATTCAGTTTTATTTATTTATTAACGATCGAATGAAAATACAAAGACTATCGTATGCATAATATGTAATTAGAATTGATTGAAGAAAAACTTGTTAGTACAGCCCCTTTGGGGTTAAAGTATGGAACTTACATATATTTCTTTAGCTTCATTATAATAATACAACATATGTAAAGTCTCTTACAGGCTATAGTTGTTTTCCAAGATATCTCAATCTCCAGAGAGATAATCTGTCTTAGCAAATACGTCTGTTGTACATATCCATTATATCTACAACAGGTTTCAACGCATTAATATATATATAAGTTCAGAAACACTGATTTTAATGCTATTTCTCAAGGTTCTAAATTTATTGGTCAGTTCAAGCTTGTTATGTTGATCATATGACGATTGTGGTACACGAATACATCACTATCTATTATCCTTAATATCTTAAACATAAACTTTCATCTGTAATGTTCTATAATAGTCTAACTCTTGCTATTAGTACCGTTTTCCGTCTATAAGGAACTCTGAGAAAAGAGTCTGACGCCTATTATCCTCGATGGTTAAGGTCTGTAATGGGAAACCGCAAAATTACACTCACTATTTTCTTCGAAATTATTTGTGAGTTTCACAACATGCGTATAAGAGCTGTAAAATTTACCTAATAATAAATTAATCTTATTTACAATGAAAGGTTTTATGCTGTTAGAAAATAATATTAGACATATTCGGATGAAATTAAAGCTATCATTATCAAACTAACAAATTAAAAATATGAGTGGTCCATGGAGTGCACCGAACGAGATAATGGATTTTTTAGAAATTTACAATGTGCGTACGACACTCATAAAATAAAGTTTTAACACTATTTTTTTCTTCTTTTTTTATGCTAGTTAGATAGAGCTCGTCGAGTTGCATAAGAAAAAGTGTTGCAAACTTTAAAAAATGAATGAAAAAGGTCCAAGATACCATTAATTTCAAATATAAGGAAAACAGTTTAAAAAATTTTGACTTTTAGAAAACTTTTTCTTATGCAATTCGATGAGCTCTATCCAAATATCATAAAAAAAAAAGGAAAATAGTGTTCAAATTTGACTTTCGAGTAGAATCTTTTTTTTTATAAATAAGGTAAAGGTTTTTTCAATAAAACGAACAAAAAACTCTATAAATATCTTAAAAAATACAATATTATTCTCGGTGTACACCATGAACAGCTCATTTTTTCAACTTGTCAGTTTGCCACTGAGAGCATTAATTTAACTCGAATAATTTCAATTCCAATAAAGTATTTGAGTATTTATTATAAATTTTACAATAAAATTTTTTTCGTTTTTGATCTTTCGATATTTTTTCATTGAAATTAATAATATTAGTTTAGAAAAAATGATCTTTTTTTATATGAAAGAATTGATAGAAATCGTACAAAATAAATGTTATTCATAAATGTGAGAGAATAGTCCACACTAACCTTGTATAATTAAAAAAAATCGAATAATTCAAGTTTAATTTAGGTTGTTGTCAATTATAAAATATTTCTACATATTTTATCTACATGCAGACATATTTTTATAACTGAAATCTTCCTAAATATGAAATATGAAGAAGACACATAAATTCATACATGAGAAAATTGTGTGAATAAGAAGGAAAAAAGAAAGAAGGAGATATAAATCATTTTAGGACAAGCCGCCTTTGAAAAAAAAAATAAGAAAGAGAAAAAAAAAAGCTATAGAATATTATTCTTTGATTATGAGACGTGTTATTCAAGTCAATCAAATCAGCATATTGTTTTTTCTCTCAGGATCAATCCATAAGAAATTTTATATAAAAATATCAATTCGTTTCTATTGATTCATTGATGTTTAACTCATATATTTACTTCAGGATAATATGAAGAAAGAAAAAATCAGTATGTACACCTACACATCAATAAAAAAAAATAAATTGATTTGATACTAAATAACAGACATATTGATGTTATGTAAATATGAATGTCCTGGCTGTATTTGGTAACAATAAGGCAAACACAATACAGATGTCAGATAGAAGACGTATTAAATATGGACATTTTATAAATTATAGAAAATAGCAAGCATATTTTATTTTCATTAATCTAGAATACAGACATTAATATTTTAAAACTAAAAGACAAATTTTTTGAAGTGATTTGAAAAATGAAGGAGATATACGTATCACTTCTCATTTGAAAAAATATTATGAAGCAGAATTTCAGAATACATATACAAACAATATATCAACAAGTTATTGTCATTATATTTTGTTTTTTCTGGTTGGATACAAATTAATCTACAATGATTCTATTATGTAGGAATTTTGTAAAAGAGATCAGCCGATCAATAAGAACTAATTTTATAATATAGTTATTAAAACGATGAAAAAGGTATCAATTAATCATATTTATAGAATATTGAATGTTAGAATTACAGTTTACATCTTATTATATGAACTAATTGACATTCTTTAGCATAAGACTCTTATCTGAGAAAACAAATATTGGCATTCTGACAAGATTTACTCTTAAATTCTTGTGATTTATATGTAAGTTCTACAGAGCATCATTGAATTTCATGTAACTTCAGATGAGATACAATAAAAAGAAGAAGAAACCAATAATAAATATAATGTGCTTTATACTGAAAATACATGCCTGTTATTATATATCTTCTTCTTCATATTTATCATTTAGAATGCACAATGATTCATTCATCGTCGGTGTTCTTTGTTTTGATCATACTAGGATATGGGTGTTTTCGAAGAAAAGACTCACACGTACATTCTCAAATAAAAATATCACATTAGTTCTCACAATTGTTTCGAATTTAGAAGATGAAGAAGAGTGTCTAGCTACTGAAAACTAATGTTCATCATACAAGACATTTTTAGTTCAATTGCTTTCGAACACATCTAATATTTATTATACTAAAATGAGTTGTGCAAGAAACACTTGTTGCACAGGCTCTTTTCGATATTTTTCTACAGGTTAAAGTCAAAATAACTTAAAACAATATATATAGATATTGATTGAAGTGAAAGTTTAAAGTAGTTAGTATGCGATTTTGGAGACAGCATGACTTTTCGAGATCCACCCATTGTACAACAACATATAATACATCTATGAACTGTGTCATAACTGGAAATTTCTATTTTTTTAAAAACTTTATCGTAGTTTACTTACACTATATTGATAGCTTTTTGTCTGAGAGTAATATAAATTTTATTAGCGACATGTAATATCATACGATTGAAGCTAATTATATATTTAAAAAACGATAAACGAAAATGTTGCTTCTGTTGTTGAATCGGCTCGCCAATTCAATATTAGGTTTTCGAAAGTATATCCATATGTATCCGATATAAATTTGATACTTACCTTACATAAACAGATGAAAATTCAAGAAAAAAATATAACAAAAGCAGAAAAAACTGATAACAGTCTACTTGAACAAGAGAATATAAGTGTAACAAATCCTGTGTTTATCATCCTTACTGTTGTACCTAGAATTCTTCTGACAGTAGTTGTTTTCCGTATCGCTTGCCTAATATAGGAATATTGTTGAGGCTTACAAACTCGTTGATCATATATTGTAGACATTGACATAATCATACGTTAGTAGAGAGCAGCGGGTCCAGGTTTTTATGGACCCGGACCCGGGCTTGATATATTCGGGCTCGGACCCGTCCGGGTCCAGACCCGTTAAGTGTTTCGCCAATATCTAGCACCCTCTGTATATATGAACAAGTGAAGGCTCATGGTTTTAGCTGACTATTGGTTGCAAGAACAGTTGCCATCGACATCATCATCGACAACCAAAAAGATTCGAACTTTTGGCGACGATCTGTTTAGTGATGAAGATATTATTCATAAAAATAGTGATATATCTATTGAAGACGATGAACAAGAATAAAAACGAAATATTAATTTTGTTTATGATGAAATAAGTACTATATATTTAGGTGTAATCAAAACATGTTATNCTCAGTTACTTCCTGTCAGAAAATTGTACGACCAGTGTGTATAGGATTGAGCCTTGCGAGAGGCAAATCGAAAAAGACTCATTGTTTCAAGTTCTACAGCTTTCGATTGGTAATTTGTCGAGTTTTCAATATTATCCACTATGCTGCAAATAGATGTGTAAACTGATGAGTCGATCGACGACGGCTGTAAAAACTAAATTGTTTTTTCGGGTGTGGGTGTGGGTGTCAGTGTGGGTATAGCAAGAAAGACTCACCGACCCATCCACACCCCACTCACACCTACACCCACAGCCCACACCCCACCCACACCCACACCCCACACCCACACACACCCACACCCTCTTATTTTTTATTTAGTTGTTCGTATTTTTTTATTTTTAATTAGTCGATTATCATGTTTTTTATGCCGTTTTGAAAGTAAAATAGATGATGTTCGACAAAATAAGCTTTCTATACAAGATGCATTGTTTTTATCATTATCAGTTTCTATGCATCGAAATGTTGATCTTGTACCAAGACCATTGTCAAATTTGTTAAATATTTTCTTACTACTTTATTTATTAGTTAAAATAATATTTAAAATATAAATCTCAAGATAATCTGTAGATTAGATGACGGTATTTCGAAACTCGATACAGTTCATATTATTTGGTTTATTTTTCATCGTTATAAATGACATATCTTTTTAGGTCGGATGGCAACAAGTGCTTGGTTGTGTTTTAGTTTTATAATTGTATTATTATGTACAACTAATTTAGTAGTTTTTTCAAGATTTGAAATAACAGAAAGACCAATTGAAACAGTTGAAGACCTTGCTAAACAAACAGAAATTCGTTATAGAACAATAAGAAATAGTTCAACAATGGCTTTTTTTTAATAAATCAACATTTACAACATTTAAACATATGTGGGATTTTATGGAATAGCATAAAGATGATGTCTTTGATTGCATCAAATCGTGAAGGTATTGAAAATGTTCGACAAGCAAATGGTAAATTTGCTTTCCTAACTGAATCAGTATTCAATGAATATGCCAATGAACGTTTACCATGTGATACAATGCGTATTGGTAAAAATCTTAATACAAAAAGTTATGGAATAACTATACCATTGGGGTCAGATTTACGTGAAGCAATAAGTAGAGCTGTTTTAGAATTAAAAGAAAATGGATTTCTTGAACGTTTAAAACAAAAATGGTATTATGAAAGAAGTGAATGTACAAATTTTGGTACAAAAGAGTTCAAACGAACAAGAACACTTAATTTACTTAATGTTGCAAGCATGCTTTATATTTTAATTATGAGTCTTGGTATATCAATGGTTCTTGCAGTTTTAGAAGTTTTACTTAAAACAAAAATACGTTCGAATCGATTAAATCAATATGAAGGAGATGCTACGCCTCTAAACTTAAAATCAACAATGACAACTATTGATTCTAATCCAAAACAACAAAATGTTGATTGTTTGCCATTACAATTACAACAACAGCCGGATATTTCGACATCTAATATTCGAAATAATGAACCATAAAAGTATTGGATTTACCCAAAAATCGATATTCTACTGATTCAAATGAATAAAAGGATATTAATTGTCATTTTATAAATTGCGATCATATTTTTTCATATATTAAAAGTTTAACCCTATATTGATGTATATGTCGTGCCGAAGTTACACTTTTTGCCGAAGTTGTAACTTCGGCAAGAAAATTTGCCGAAGTCTAACTTCGACAAGAAATTTTTGTCGAGTTATTTTGCAGCATTTTTTTAAATATATCTTTAATTAAGAGGTGAACATCATCATGTTGAATTATATATTGAAGCTTCTGTTTTTAGCTAAACAATATTCATAAGTATATTTATAAATATTTATTGTGAATAATGCACAAATCATTTAAAAATAAAGCATTTATTTGCTAATCTTGTTGAGTTTTCTACTCATTTAGAGTACTTCAAATGTTCTACAGTATCGAAAATGGCAAAATGCTTTTATGATATTATTAGCGATAAATTTGAATTTATAATACATAAAGAATCAACTCATTCGTGAGTAGATGTTAAGCTTTTCATATATCAACTCAGCTAAAAAAAGACAAGCATGAGTTGATCTACTCATGATTGTCGCATTGTATTGGTAACTATATTCAATTTTAATTACGTTTACGCAGTAAAGCTAATTATCAGACACGAAATGAAAGACAAGTATAATTAAATAATGAGATTATGGATAATATCGATTGATATAAAAGAATGGTGTCAATGGAAGATAAAAAAAGTATATTCGAATAGGGTGTGGATCTTCTATTCACACCCACACGCACACCTCACACCCATACCAACACCCACACTCCTTTATTTTCAATTCTCTGGTTGAATATTTGGATCTATTGGTGTAAAAATTTTTGAAAAGCATCATTTCGGCTTCACATAAATCGTTGTAGATAGAAAATTTTCATGATTACGAAAATGGTTTTTGATTTATATGTTTCAGAACGGTCATCAACGAGCGAGCGATTGCAAGAAAAAACATATATTCAACATTCACAACAACAAATGAAGAAATACTTTTCCAGAGATCAATGTTTCCAGTTAAGAAAATCAATCAACAACTATGAGTCAACTCTTTTAATAAACGAGGACATCGACAGAGAATTGCATGAATGTCGACAATTCTATAAAGAATTATCAATAATTAATCAATTTGTTGGTCGACAATTTGAAATTTCAACACAATGTCTTTGCTTTAGTCAGCTCACTTATCATCTGGCTGTTATTTTTAGTAGATAGAGTGACAGTTGGAAGGATATTAAAACTCTTTACCAAAATAATAAACTCCTTTTTGTAGTCGTGAAAGAGTTTCACACATTTGTTCAGTTATAAGCTTTGAATATAATAGAAATATAAATTTAAAAATCTAATTATCTTGGCGTATGTAGTACAAAATTCTTCAAAATAAATTATTTTATAACGTCATTCTGTTGATTCACATTGTGATTCGTTCATTTATTTCTGCACTTGAAGGTATGAGTGTATCAATCAAATAACAGACTGACTTATCCTTTAACAAAGAATGAAGCTCAACCTGTCCATCTCAATTCTTGCTTTTTCAACAAATGATTAAATCAAAAATCAAATAACAATAGAATACTACATTAGTGTACTTTGACAATGTAGAGTTCTTTTTCGGCAACGCGTTTCATGTTATTTATTAAAATATAAACACTCGTCAAGTGTCTGCATTAGAACTGCAAGCACAAACTACAAAAAAGTAAAGAAACAACACATGAAAACAAAAATAACAAAATTGAGTTGAATTAAATTTTGTGAAGAGAAAATTAGAAACTCCACCGAGAAATCAAATCGATTTGAAATTTAATTACTATAAGTTTCTTATCCAATATTCTAGTTTATGCCCAAGATGTCTGTGTTGTATCAGTCATATTTAAGAAAGATTTAGGTGCGACTATAACGGTGGAGTTTCCTTCACACAAACCCACAGCCTATCTGAAAGTTCTCTGAATATAAGAAAGTGAAACATTTTTTCATAGTGAAGAACAACAGCTTTAATGCTATTACTTATTCATTGTGGAACATCTGGTAAATGAATACCGACTGATCAGACGTATCTGTGTATACATTATAAATCAAGTACAGTAACAAAGAAAGAAAAAGAGACCGACTCTGCCTTCTTTACTTTTTCTCTCTTTCTCCTTCAATCGATGACTTTCATACGCATCTTGAAAAGTCGACGCATCATCAATTTTGGCAAAGTGAGATGCTTTTTAATTTATTTTTCTTGAGCGTTTATTACTTTCCAACAATTTGTTTAAGAAGGAAAAAAATCCGATTCATATGTTCGCAAACTTTCTCGAATTTTCGCTCAAATTTATCCGCGATATTTCACTAATTGAATTTTTCAACGTCAAATGCTCGTACAGATGCCGATAAACATTTATAGTTGGTTATTGACTCGAGTAATTTGTAGGCAAGTATTTTTCCATTTTATTAATGCTTGTGCATGCAAAAAATAAGATCATAAAAAAATTGAATTGAATGATAAGTACTATTCGTCTAATCCGAAAATGTGACGAGATCGAATACATTATAAGCTCAATATTCATCGACGTTGTTTTCACTTTCGCCCTGTAAAAGAAACGTCTAGTTATAAAAAGCAAAGAAAAAAATTCTTACATCAACGCTGTTGGTGGCAACTTCTTCGTAGTCTTTCTCTAGTGCTGCCATATCTTCTCGCGCTTCGCTGAATTCACCTTCTTCCATGCCTTCACCAACGTACCAATGAACAAATGCTCGTTTGGCATACATCAAGTCGAATTTGTGGTCGAGTCGTGCCCAAGCCTCTGCAAAGATACGCATCAATCGAGGAACAAACAAATTAAGAGAACATACCGGCGATGGCTGTCGTACTCGACAGCATGCATACGGCTCGCTGTACTTTAGCAAGATCGCTACCAGGAATGACAGCTGGTGGCTGATTGTTTATACCAATTTTGAACCCAGTGGGACACCAGTCAACGAAATGAATTGCCCGCTTTGTCTTGATTGTTGTAATGGCCGAGTTGACGTCTTTCGGGACAACATCACCACGGTAAAGTAGACAACAAGCCATGTATTTACCTGTGAGTAGAAGATGATCATATACAAAAAACAACGGAAGAAAAAAGAACAGACCAGCCCGGGTATCACACTTTACCATTTGGCTACTAGGCTCGAATGCCGTATTCGTAATTTCGGCTACCGACAACTGCTCATGACAAGCCTTTTCGGCTGAAATGACTGGAGCATCTAAATCACTGCACGGTCAATAGAATGAACTCTGTGAAAAATCATGACTCACATGTAACGAGTGGAAAGTGAATCCGAGGATAGGGAACGAGATTCGTCTGGAATTCGGCTAGATCGACATTGAGAGCGCCGTTGAACCGAAGAGAGGCTGTAATTGAACTGACTACTTGAGCAAGCAATCGATTTAGATTTGTGTACGTTGGTCTTTCAATGTCTAAGTTTCGGCAGCAAATATCATCTGAAAAGAGTCACATTTTAAATAAGATAAGAGAGATACCTTCGTTTCAGAACCAAATTCAATGTGTTAATGGAGATTGGTACTTTAGAAAAGCTCGTCTTGAGATGATGTACTTTTTTAATGACAAAAAGAGAAATTATTCGAATGCGTTCATCAAACTTGTCAGAAATCTAGCTGACTGTATTCTACCAACAATTCTATTCGAAAATAAAAGCCGTCTACGAAATTATCACTAAGAAAATTCCACAAAAAGAAAATAGCCTTCGAAATTTTCTTACAATATCTTGACATAATGAATACTATGTTTTGATATTTCGGTCGATTCCACTCTGTTTAGAAATTATTTTCTAATGCTTAATTTCAGAATTTTAAACCAATCTCTTTGGACACTTTTGAAAGTTGAATTTCATATACATGGCTCCGTAATCTACGTCATTCTCTCTCAAAAAGTTGCTGATCAATCCTCAAGTTTTATGTATACTATCTTCCTTAATGGTAAAAAGATTTTCTTGACTGCTTCTCTTTACAAAGGGCTTCATTGTCGACCATGAATGCACAATCAGAATGTTCGAGGGTTGTGTGTGTTGTCAAAATCGAATTGTAAGGCTCAACAACAGCTGTCGAAATCCGTGGAGCCGGATAGATGGCAAATTCAAGTTTAGACTTCTTTCCGTAGTCAAGCGACAGCCGTTCCATCAACAAAGACGTGAAACCAGATCCGGTTCCACCTAAAAGAAAAACATTGTTCAGAAAAAAAAGACTAAAGAAAGAACGAGCGAGCACTTACCGCCAAATGAATGAAAAATGAGAAAACCTTGGAGTCCGGTACATTGATCCGTCATCTTTCGTATACGGTCGAGAACTAAATCGATTATCTCCTTTCCAACTGTGTAATGTCCACGAGCGTAATTATTTGCCGCATCTTCCTTTCCAGTGATCATTTGATCTGGATGAAATAATTGTCGATAGGTGCCAGTTCGAATTTCGTCTAGACAAAAAATACTTGTCGCTCTCAAAATGACAAAGAATATGAGACGTACCAATGACAGTCGGTTCGAGGTCGATAAATAGAGCTCGAGGAACGTATTGTCCCGTTCCTGTCTCTGTAAAAAAAGTGTAGAATGAGTTATCATCCCCACTTACTTTATTGTCGGATGACATCTTTCCATCGGGCTGAATACCATGTTCAAGACAAAATAATTCCCAACATGTATTGCCAATTTGGACGCCAGCTTGACCGATGTGAACCGAGAGACACTCGCGCATTTGTATCTACTTGTTATTTTGTTAGACCTAACGCAATGAAGAAAATATAAGATAGAATCGTGCGCTTGGACTCGACAATCTTGAGCAAAGCGAAAAAGAACGACGCAAATAGAAGAGAAGGAGAAAAAGATAAAGAAAAAGAAGCACAAAAAAGAGAAAAACAAGATAAAGATAAAGAAGAACAGGAAAAAGAAAAAAAATAGTGATTGACTGAATCATTCGTATACGCCGCTTAGGCAGAGTAGACAATGCTCCCTTCCAAAAATAACCACTGTTCTGTCCTATCATTATTTATATTTCTCTCGTGACGAAAAAAAAGTGTCCGCAATAACCCTCTTCACATAGAATGGCTAGAGACGATCAAAAATGATTGATGAACGTGTTTGTCAACCAAAATCATTTGGCTAACGAGTTCTTTTTTTGAGCTTGGCTTTATTTTCATCAATTATTAACGACAGAGAAATATTTTTTATCATAATCTTTTCATTCCTTTTTTTTTTCTATCAAAATACATTGAAATACTAATAGTAACCAATTATTTAGATGTTATCAAATATGTACTTACTGTAGCATTTTCGAAGTATTTATGCGTCACTAATGAAAAATCGACAAAAACAGAGATCAGGTGCTATGTTTTAGTTCACAATATGCTTTCAGAGTGGATCGAAAAGAAAATGATAAGAAAAGTTTAAAGAGAAAGTAGACTTATGCGATATTTCATACTATCGTTGTAGAGTCTCCGTTGTGGACAGCATATTTGAACTTCTTTATATTCAATGATGTACTCTCAATAATCTCATTTTGTTCGACTCGGATTATGAATTAACCATACTATTGATGCATAATATTCAATATGCACGAATTTATAAATTAAATATAGAATTATAGATCTGTTGAATCTCTTTCTTTTTCTCTAGAATCCAAAAATGAACTATCATGTGGAGTTTCCTTTGATTAAATGGAATATATTTTTTATTATTCAAAAATTTAAAAAAATCATTTTTATTCACGATGTATATTTGAAGCTTATGTTTATTTTTTTTTCTTTCCTTAGATTTTGAAAAACCTGAAATAGATTTTTTAATGCTTTAGTTTTTCAGCTGCTAAAAAAGAAATAAACAGCTCAACTTCAAAATTTTCTATGAATCATGTATGTCAACAACACACTCATTTATTTATTGAGTACATTCGCATTATAGCTGTTCATTCCCACTTTGGCGAGCTTTCGGACAATTATCATTGCTTCGAATCAGTGGTCTTTGCTAGTACTTGAAGCAAGGAGAAAACAGCTGAAATCTGATTTTTTCATCTATAATTTATTAAAAATCAACTCATCTCTTGAGTAAAAATGCATTGTTTTTTACTTTCTAGTAGAGACAGAACACCGTTTACTTATCGAAACACCTATTATTTATGAGTGTTGTAACTAAAAAATGGCTTGACTACTAGAGTATGTTTGACACTCAAATGCGAAAGTCACACATCATAAAAACATTTTATTTGAATACTCCATTCTTATACATTTGATAGATGAATCGAAAGAGATAAACTAGGATCCGATTCAGCTAGTGCAAAAGAAAAACTATACAAGGCGTATACTCTCGAAGTAGACTAATTGAAAATAAACTTCAGACTAAAATGTATAATGCACAGTTCGGTTGAAAATATATTCTTCAAAATTACTTTATCAAAGAACCGTATTTAGGTAACTACGTGATCAAATTTTTTGAGTAATGTCATAATACCCTTCCATCCGGTATCGACTAGTTCTAATTTTCCTACAGGGAGTATGCATCCAACAAGTCCAAAGCGGTTTTTCATATAGTGTAGTACCCTTTGGGTATCGCATTCAAACTAGTATCTGAGCTGCTAAAAAAGCCGAGCAGTTTACCATTACGACATTCTCATTTTGCACATGTAAAGAAGTTAATGAAAGAATTAAACAACATATAGATAATATTAATAAAACTGATGGTATTAAATGCAATGTCTATGATCATATGATGACGTATAAACATATATTAAATTTCAAAGAACCAACCATTTTCGCATTTGATAATAATAAAAGAAAAAGAGAAATTAAAGAAACTCTATTATTAAAAAAATTTTCAAATGACATTTTTAACAACATCTCATTTAAAACTTCAATATTTTAAATGATTTCACATTAAAAAAACTTTCATTTTGACTCTTAATTTTCATGTAAAAACTTGAACATATATCATCATATGAATATAAAATCTTTTTAATAAATTACCTGATGATGATGCTAGTATAATATCGAAAGCTCGTATAAATAATGAAAAACTTTTTACATATTTTCTATTTTATTATTTCTCTATCACCATCTATCATTGTTTGGCATCAAATAACATCACTTAGTATCGCTCAACCAGTACAATTCAACACAGTTTTGCTTTGTCTTTTCGCAAGCGACTAATCTTATACGTACTCTGGAGCTGCATTATAAATCAGAATATGATACTAAACGTTATTTGAAAGAGGAAATTTTAACTGCTCTACGTGACGATATTTCTTTGTGCAAAATGTTCATATCAAATGGCTTACGATAACTCAATCTTTCTTCTGTTTCGAGACAACCGAATTTGGTAAACATTACCTATTTAATTGTCGAGTAACTTCCTCCTTTGCAAGTCGTTGAAGTGTCACATATACTTATCAACGGTCTGCCGAAATAAAAATGGCTTACTATTAATGATGAATATGAATGTGGTCAACTTTATGAGAAAAAATTGCATGATCTGCAGAATTCAAATACTCGTTCTCTTCAAACAGAAGTTTCTAACACAATAGATGAGAATACACTTTTCTTATGATTATACTTAGGGTGTACCAAAAGTTCTGATCACGGCGTTACTTAGCCATATAGTAAGCTTTAAAAATCTTTCTTTCTATATAAGCCTGATAGAGAAAAGAATGCTCTATTTTTCTATGCTATTTGATCATACTTCAACTAATATTATGATAATAAATTTNGTCTCATAACTCGGTTCATGAACAGTATCGAAAAATGACCTTGAGAGCAAATTTATAGCTGAAGTCAAGATCTACAACTTAGCAAATAAAATATTTGATTAAATGCGTCAAACTGTTGTACAAACCATTCAATACCAAAAAAGACTTCAAAAGTAACTACTGCCACCCCTACCTGGGAAGGTTCCCTTGTAAGCTTCATTGTACGATTACATTGAATCAAAAAAGAAATGGAGAAAACAAATTGCTAAATAAAGTTTACAATTATGTACAGAATTTCAAGCGCTATCGTTCGATAAAAGAAGAGTGTTTCAATCCAATGAAGAATAGAGGAGAAATATTGAAAATACAAACAGTCGAAAGCATTCTGCGTCATGCGTTATTTATTTATTTTACCTGCTGGATCCGATAGAACTTCCATAAGTGATTTTTCCTATTAAATTTATTTATTAAATTAATAAAAGGAAAGGAAATTTATTTACTTGAGCTTGTTTTGTTATTAATTTTTCTTCAGTTTCAAAGAAAACATCTAATTTTCGTTTCTATTTGAATGAAAATAAAATTTCAGATAAAATCAATTCATATATATATATATTCACTTTGATATTATCAAGAAGTGCTGTAGCAATATTGGTATGTAAATCAAGTAATCGTTTTTTTTCTAATAATTCTGGTAATGAATTAACTGCACTTGTTAATTGACTTGTTGTATCATTTAACAAACTTATAGCTAAATCTTCAGCATCACCTTTAATACCCTACAAAGACAATAAAATTTCTGTTTAAATATTAAAAAAGTTTCTTTTTTTTTCAAATAGAATAAACAAACCATGGCATTTTTAAGGCGTTTAACTTCATCTTCTGATTGTCGATAACGTTCAAGTTCTTCTTGAATTGATTCAGCAACAATAGGAAAAGGACTAAATAAAAGGAAAAAAAAAAAGTAAGAATATTAATCATTTAAACTTAACTTACTTTCCTTTTTGTTGTTTCCAAAATTTATCAGTCGGAATCAGATCATATGTACGTCGTTTCGATGGATGTCGTCCATCACCTGTTGTAACTGATTCATCAACTTCTTCAATTTCAACTCGATTTAATTTAAAATCCTATTAATCAATACAAAAAAAAAAGCACAATTCCTTTTTAAAACTAACTATTTGAATTTATTTACTAGAACGTCATGTGCTAATGCTTGATAAGTCCATGTATGATGAAGAAGTGATGCTAAATCAATACTTCGATCTAATATAACAAGAAGAGGCCGTTGAAAACTGAAAAATAATACAAGTGAAATGAGCTATAATTTTCGATAATTGATAGTCAAGACACCGACACATTTAAAAAAAGAACTGTTAATACCACCTCTGCAGAATTAAAATGTCAAATACGATATAGCTGCTGTTGTTAATTACAGAAAGATTCTTTTATTCTATCTATTTTTGGACTAGAGGAGTGCGGAACCAAGTCTTTCTTGGTTTCAGTTTCAGTCTAGAGAAAACTATTTCGAAATGCATCCGTATCGCGTATAAAAAAAAATTCTTCAATATTCGTTTTTTATTTAGTCGACAACTAGCACTTTTTTGGATTCTCTCTTTTAAATTATATTGTGATTGATAGGATTAATAAGACAATTCGTTGAAAGTTATAGAACTAAAATTGGTTCCGCAGATCTCTATTTAAGGCATATTTCGTCAGTATTTTTTTACATAATCCTCTAAAAATGCAAGGAGGGATGAGTGTTACTAAAGTGTCTGTCACTTCTATGTAGGGATTTAAATTTTTACCCTTATATTTCATCATTCTATTTAGATCATTTTCTACGAAGTATATATGCTAATTGACATATCATTTCGATAAATAAATAGACTAAACTATTATCATCGTGCTTCATAATGTTAATAAAACGGTTATTTGAGATTTCCATCAAGAGAATATTGAAATTAAATCCTCTGCAAATCTTATTAGATTTCATTGGCATCATAAAGCAACAAGATACTAATTAATATTTTGTATATTCTTTGAAATAACAAATAATTTTAGTCCATATTTAAAAAGATTTATGTAATTAATTAACTATAGAAATAAATTGATCTTATATTAATACTTTTAGTATGAATAGTTACTGAGTATTTTTAAATAGCAAGACATATTATGTATTGACGATCGTAAATAGCCGCGTATGCTCATTGTACTGATATACACAGAATGTTGTCTGGTTCATCATAACTCATTGTGTTGTATGCTACATTGAAATGTATTTTAAATTCTATGCTGAAAAAGTAAAAACTACGTTTCAAACTCCAAAGAACAACAATTGGGTAGGTTTTTACAATATTTAAATTTTCTTTTTCTATTCCATAAATTAATAAATCATTACTATATGTTATAATTTTCTTATCAAGTTTTTGTAACAAACCTTAAAGCTCCAGTAGCCATGGAATCCGATGTAAATAGACTATTACGAGGATCACGTAGGTTGTCACGTAATTTTTTATCAAGTTTCTAGATTAATTGAAAATAACAAAAAAAAATTTATTTTTTCTTTCGAAATAAAGTAAACAAACTTCGCCAACAATTTCCGCTGCTTCACCTTTTGGACATCGAATAATAGGTACTGCACCTAAATAAATAAAACAATGAATTTTTTTGTTAATAATAAATTTTCATTATATATATACCAAGTGTAACACACACTGAAAAGAGACTATCAACAATAGTTCCAATAATTTGTTCCATTTCCATATCAAGCATTTGTGGTCGATTAAGAGCTAAAAAAAAGTTTAAAACTTTTATTTCTATTCTTCATTTTTAGAAAACTATTTACCATAATATGATATACTATCTCTTCCTGCTTGTCTCAAACAAAAAAGTTCATCTTCAAGTGTAATAAAATCAAGATATTGATCATAGATCTAATAGAAAATAATAATAAATATAACTTATTCGATACTTGTTTTTTTTTTTTGTCAATTCTTACTTTAGCTATATTTTGTTGAGAATTCGAGTCAAGTGCAGCTTTTGCTAAATCTTCAAGAAGATCACTTGGTATTGGAGCAATAAAATTAAAATAGTATGATTCATATAAACCTTCTGCTAAATCCTAGAAATAATTACGATAAAAATATTTAATTAAAAATTTAATAGAATAAAATTTATTTACTTTTCCTATTCGAGATATATTATCTTTGGTTGGCATAATAAAATATACTGCAGCAATTTCATCAACAGGATCCCGATCGGATTTTAATGATCTATCAATGAAATAAACAATGCGTTTATTTTATGTTTTCATTCTATCTGAGACAAAATTATTTACACATGTAATGTTACACCAAGATCACGAAGTTCTTTAACAGTTAGTAAAGGTGAAATAATATCTTGACCTAATTCGTCATAAATAAGAACTTTCCAAGCTAATTCTGTACCAGTTGATTTCAATAGTGTTGAAGGGGCAGTATTTAAATTGAGCATTTGTTTTAGAGTAGCTATATAATCAAAAACAAAAAGAATGAGAATTTATTTAATTTTTTTGCTCATGTAAAATGAAAGTTTTATTTAGACATACCAATATGACGATCACGCAAAGATAATGGGGCAATTGATGGAGTAGCCATTTTTGTACGTAGTTAAACAAATGAAAAAGTAGGCAGTCTAGCAATTAATGAATAGGACAGGTTGTGTGGCAATGGCAAAGATAGAACATTCATTTATTTATTCGTTAGTTTTACTCATCCATTGATAGAAAGCACTGGGAAAAGAGGGCGCTATAAGACGTAGATACAATCACTTAACTAAAAATAACTTCTCAGCATACTCTCTATATAATATTGAAAAACATCGCAAGAAGTTACCATGATTGTGTAGTAGTGTAGAAATTATTAAGTCGTTCAATTGAATCTAAGCAATGTTATATTTTATTTAACAACAGCTAATGTAGGTGTAAACAACCAACATTATACTAGTCAATATGTTCATTGTAATTCTACGACTAGTTCTACACAGAATGATAATGCTGAGAATAAGGTAAACAATTACATTAATGAATTTCAAAAATGTCAATGGAGTAAATACGGCTCTATCATGCCAACGAATTGGATTGATCCATTCGAAATATACGATTCGGAGTAGGGGTGACCCTTTATCTTTACTATCCTTTATCATAAAGGATAAAGATAAATGATCATTTATTTTTAAAAAATAAAGTTAATTAAATAAAGGAATACTTTATTTTAAAAAAAATAAATGTAAATGAATCATTTATCTTTAAAAAATTAAAGAAAAACAAAGNGAAATAAAGCTTTCATTTCAGTTATTTTTGAATTTCATCTTAGAAAGTGTATTTTAAATCAAATTACATTTGTAAACAGTAATAATCTCTCTGTAGATTTATTTCATGATTCCAGTGCTTTTCTAATTATATTATCTGTCTTCGTAAAAAGTATCATTTATTCCTTTGTTTTTCTTTAATTTTTTAAAGATAAATGATTCATTTACATTTATTTTTTTTAAGTAAAGGATTCATTTACCTTTATTTTCTAAAGTAAAAGTAAAGTACCACCCCTAATTCGGAGGATTTATAGAAAAACTTTTTATTCTGCATATATTTTTAATTTTATGAAGTAACTTTCTTTTTTTATTGAAACTAAGATAAAACATGTATTTGATATATGATATTGTTCGTTTTACATTAAATAAAGATCAGAAATCATGATCTATAAAATTCAAAAAAAAAAAAAAAAAATTTTCAAACACAGTCATACAATAGAATGTTATTGAAACATATAATTTACTTTACGTATCTTGATACGAGAGAAATTCAATACACGGTTGCTATACTAATATAAATGCATGACATCATATTATGTCTTGAAATCTAATATGACTAGTTTAGATAATATTTAATCGAATATCGTTATCAGTCTTGATTTTTTTACCAAGCCTGAAATTAATGTTTGATAGACCAATCGGCACTACTCTTACTTGATCAAAGATCTTTCCGTCTTTCATATTCCATACATGTTGTTGTACTAAAAGTTATGTCATGTCTAGTAACGAAACATTATTATGATCTTAAGTTTTTATTGGCTTTAATCACTATGAAATTTGTAAAGAACGAGTTAATTTTTTGCCATTGATTCATCACATTGAAATCAAATGACATTAAAATTACATTCTAGATCTCGATCAAAGAATGTTCACAAAAGAACTATCTCACCTATAAAGCAAAAGAAAAGCTTGTTAGTGCAGACTCTTTGATGCTGAAATGTGGAACTGACATGTGTTCTTTAGTCTCATTAAACTAATACAAAATATGTCAAGTGAAAAATCTCTTCTAGACTATGGTTATTTTCCCAGATAATTGATCACCAGACTAAGGATCTGTCTTATTTATTTGTGCATTTCGAACAGAATTTTTTTTTACGGACGCACTATTTTATGCTTACATTGTTTTCTAGTCGCTCGGTATTTTTCTTGAATTCAACATTGCTATTAGTATAAGCATTGAATTATATGGCAAATAAGACTCTTTCTTGTAAATGTACATTATATCTAAAGCAGCAGATCTTTACACACTATTATATATCTCGATCAACTCATAAATACTGATATTGATTATTTTCGAAAGTTATAACTCGATCAATTCACGCTTTTTATATTGATTCTATGTCAACTGTGGTAAATCATTGCATCACTGCCCATCATCATCGATATCTTGAATATAAATTTTTATCGGAGTAAAAAATAAAAAATTTCACTATTTAAAACATTCACTAACGTATTCCACCCATTCTAATTTCAACGAAGGCTTTAGAATTGTCTAGAGTATTCAAAGTCATATTGTTAATGTCGTCCAGCGCCTTTTTCCGTTGCTATCGAACTCTGGAAAAGGAGTTTGATGCTAGGTGACCTAGGTCTCTAACGTCTGGTATGAACTTGGAATTAAAACTTACATTCACTGTTTTCTTCGAAAACAGACATAAATTTCACAAAAAATCATAGGATACGAAACTTGAAAGGGAATTTCATGCACGCGATGAAACGTTAACAAGAGTTTAGCATCCGCTGTAATTCTCGAAATTCTATTTTATTCATTATAGGATTGAAGTCAATCATGATGACCTCTGTATTAAGTATTCATTTGATAGGTTAATGTTGTCAAAGAATAGTAGAAAAACTGAACTTTGATATTTTTTTCTTTTATCTTTCTCGTCACTTTATTTATAATTTATTTTATTCTTTGGACCACAAGAACGAAAAAAGAACGAAAAGCAAATGATCAATAAAAAAAAAAAGCATTTTATGTTTTTTATCATTAAGGTTGACGAAAGATACACTTGAGTGAATCACACACGCACACACATATATTTATGCATATACACGTTGAAAGATGCGTATTTCTACATAACATTAGATTACATTATTTTATATATCATGTGTATGCTGCTATGAAGTGACTAAATTATTAGTATGCGACAACTAAACAAGAGAAAGGAATCAGAAGAGTTCTTCATGTCCTTTAATCTCGGCAAATTTTTGTTTTTCTCCAGCATAACTACATGAATTTTTCTCTGTTTTTATGGATGTCCTGGGCGGAGAGGAAATCGATGATGCAACTCCTTCAATTCTGAAAAATTATCATCTTTCTACAACGAAGTTCCAGCACTTTATTGCTTTTTTGCTCAGCAATTCTGAAAAAAGAATCCTCGAATTCTTTTCCACCGAAAACAAATTCGGTCATTTTTAGCAAAAATTTTCCGATTAGCTTGCTGAGTCATCGACCTTTCGTCAATTCTGGTAACCTTGTGAAATTCCTATCTGCTTAGTTCATCAATACTCTCAACATCGATCACCTTCATTGTCCTTTATCGTTATCATCAACTCTGCTTTCAAAATCGTTGATTTCCTCCTAATTCTTGTGATGCGTTGGAACACTCCTGATTATAACGTACTTGTTTCAGATGAAGAATATTTTTATTTTAATTCATGTGTTCTATTGTATCAGTGCCAAATTAACTACGCTCAGTACTTGTAAGGATTGTCTTGGAAAAATTCATACAAAAGAAGAGTTACAATTAGCTAAACAATCTTTAATTATTAATAAAAATCAGGCTTGTCAGAATATAAAAACTAAATTTTTTATTATTGTTAAATCAGGAACTTTTCAACGACGGAATTTTACACGTTCTACATGGGCAAAAGAAATTATTAAACATCGTAATATACCTGTTTTATATGCTATTGGATATCCAAAAGATCCTGCTATGCAAAAAGAAATTATTGATGAAGATGAAGAATATCATGATTTATTACAGTTTAATTTTCTTGAAAGCTATTATAATTTAACATTAAAAACAGCAAGTGTTTTATTTTGGTATGATCAGCATTGTTCGAAAAGCAGTGATTATCTTTTTTATGTTGATGATGATGTACTTATTCATGTTGATAAATTAATCCTGTATATGAATCAAACTGTTGATGATGATACAATCGAAGGCTGGTTTGAAAAATCTGGAAAAATCCAACGTAAAGGTATTGGTGGAATATCAAAAGAAGATTTTCCTATTGATACTGTACCAGATTACTTATGGGGTGCTGCAGTTTTATATCCAACAAATATAATATCGAATTTATTAATCAAAGTTATATTTAATACAACAATACCAATATTTTTTCGTGACGATGTTTTTATTAATGGTTTTATGGCTGAACAAGCTGGAATTAAACGAAAACATATGAAAGGAATGTTGACATATGATCCAACAGAAGATGATTTAAAAACTAATATGATCATAATTGATTTTAAAAATGAAGAAACTCGTGAAAAAGCATGGAATTGTTATAAATATAATATTCAATGCAATAAAAACTTACCATTATTATTATTTAGAATTTTCGCTGGAATTAGTTTATTCATAGTCATAATTGGTTATTGTTGTAAATGTTTTACAAGTACATTTTATTATGAGCAATTAAAGCATGAATATAACCTTTGGTATTATAATATCAGTTATTGGTTTAAGCAGTATATGAATTCAACGTTGATGAGGAATAGACGACAACATTCGACAGATATAATTCAAAAAACTCTATTAGGTATTCAATGGTTGATTAATTTGAGAAGAATGGGTAAACGGATAGTCTTGATTTTTATTTTTATTGTTGCTTTATATTATTTCATAAAAGAACTAATTAAATCGAAAAATTGAACTGCCATTTATACAAAATTCAGCGAATTTCTTTCACGTGTGAAATCAATAAACAGTGATTTTGTTTGTTCGAATATCGGACCAACAAAAGCAAAACAAATTATTGTGAAATAGAATGTTAGATAGATATATTGGTTTATAGTGTGTAAAGATAAAACGATGATAATTAAAGATTAATATCAGACATACTCTATTGGGAAATGGACACTTCGTCTCACCTGTTTATTACGAACTCCGGTTGAAGTAGTCCGTTACGATCTTCGAACTTAAGAAAAAAAGACAGGGTCTTCGGAATGGCAAAAGTTAATGAAATATAAGGAAAATACATGATGTTCGTAACGACATGTTGTCGGAAGATCGTAACGAGCTCTGACAACTGTTTCTTAGTGGTTGAACAGCGAAAATTTGACTGGAGATCGAAATGAAACAGTCCGGAAGTTCGTAATGACAAATACATGAAGGTCGTAATGAAAACTACAGGATGATCGGAAGGAAAATGGTAGGATGTTCGTAACCATATTTAAGTTTACTCAACTTTGAGAGAATATGAAGGGACACATTTGTCTTACAGTTTTACAGAACAGCGATAGATACAGAAAAATGTCTCCTGATATAATTATGAATGTGCTAAGTAAATGAATGCTTTTCTTCTATAGAAAAACAGAAATAAAAGTCTTTATATCCGTTACGATCTTCCAGTGAAGCTTTTTTTACGAAGTGCTGGTCAATGTTATTCCGGTCATCCGGCTGTTTTTTTTTTGTAAAATGCATTATTCCGAACATCTGACCTTATTCATTACGATCTCCGGCCCTGCATCAGATATATCAAGAAATATTCTATTCCGAACATCCGGTCAAACCATTCCAATTTCCCTGCTTTTCTATTACGATCTTCTGACCACGAATGTTTACGAACTCCAGTCAAGGAAAAATTCATTTCCGAACATCCGGACGCTTGTTCGGAGTTCGGAATGAGGTGAGGCGAAGTGTCCTTCACCCACTCTATTGGCACAAGGATTCTAGTTGTTAAATCAAACTTTGTTTTGATCATTATCAGAATGAAAACAAACTGGTCCTGCTGATGTCTAATTAGGCGTTTATGAAGAAAGGTAGTAGCAGATGAATGAATTATTGCATGGTAGTATAGTGTTTCAGAGGAATAAGTAGCGACAAGAAAGTCTTTCAAGTTATCTTCTTCCTCCTGAAAAGTCAATTTTCATTGGAAAAATCGAAATTGAGATAAATGCATGGAAAAATAGCCCAAGGTTTTATCTTTCATAAGCTACATGATTTTTATTTCGGTCATCTTATGTTTAAAAACTATGTCTTTTTCAAAAAGGCGAGAAATCTTTATCGTTTTGTCTCTATTAATGATTTTCTGATCGCACAATCTGGAAATCTTGAAAGGGTTTCATTGTAACCAATTACTTTTTCTTTGTTAGAAACAGCATGTGAGACTGCAATGCTCGTTTTTAGAATTAAGTTTTTTCATTGTTATATTAAAAAAAACTCACTTTCATAAATAGACGATCAGACTAAAGTGCTCTGTCAAATGAAAAAAATTTACATAGAGAATTTTGTGTTTCCAAATGACCTATATATGACTCTTGTTTGTTCAATATCTCCCGAAAATGTGATGATAGAGAGGTGAATATTTCATGAGATTTGAATGTACCTAGTCGAAAATCAATTTTTAAAAAGGAAGAGCCTTAATGTATCTCAAGACAAAATTTTGTTGGGTGTAAAGTTGATTTCAAATGATAAATTTTTAATATACAAATCGATGTAAAAATTATGAATCCATTATCAATACCATCACTACAAAATCAAAGCAATAAAGATCACTAAGATATTGTTGATGTATGTTCAAAAACTTCTTTAAATGCCATATACAGTGCTTGATCGAAAGTCTGTCATCAATATCTATTTATTGCTTATCATCTCATTATGATAATATTCAATTTGCTTGATGAGATACAATGGCATAGATAAATTAGTGAAAATACTCTTATATCTAAAATGTTTTTTTTTTAACATACTAAACTTATTCTTAATTATCGTTATATGCATGTTTTCTCTCTTTTAAAAGTATTTCCAACTGTTTTCTCATTCTGATAAATAATTATTGACATATCATTCTAAATGTATTAACAATATAAAAAAACTGAAAGGAACAAAAAAAAACACATCGAAATTAGTGATTCATTTAATAAATCATATTTATAATTGAAATATAAATTAAATCGTTTGTCTTAAATAAATAACAAATGGCAGATGTCTTATAAAATAAAAATAGAAATACACATTCATTTGCAGATTTATTTACAGACTAAAACATTATATATCTATATATATATTTATTGTTGTTTGTGGTTTCTTTTTTATTATTCATCATTTTCTAATGATGGTTCCACTGTAAGTGCACTTCCATGCCCACTGCGTTCTTTTGTTAATGGTGTTCCAAATGTCCATTCATCTTTTTCAGGATCATAAACTTCAACAACAGATGAAAAACGTTTTCCATCATAACCACCTAAAGCAAAAAGACGTTTATCAAGTGTAACACAACTAAGTGCTGATCGACGACAATTTAATGGTCGTACCAATGACCATTGCTGTGTTAATGTATCATATCGTTCAACAGTATCAAGTTGCATTGGTCCTTCAACACTATCAGATGCATAACCACCAACAACATATATACATTCAGCGAGAGGAGCAGCTGCTGCACCAGATCGACCAACTGAAAGGGATTTTTCACGTTTCCATATATTCGTATCTGGATTATAAGATTCAACATCAGCTAATCGTCGATGTCCATCAAAACCTCCAATAGCATATAATAATCGACTGTGTGTACAAACGGCTAAGCCAATACGTGGTACATGCATAGAAGCAACTTCGACCCAAGTTTCTGAATCTGATGATGTTGAATATCGTTCAACACTTGAATATAATTGTTGACCACATGAACCACCAACTGCATAAATAAAATGATCAATTGTACCAACACCAAGACGATTTCGAGCATAAATCATTGGAGCAACTGTTGTCCATTTATTAACAAATGGATCATAACGTTCAACATCACGACAATCTCGATTTTCATTTCTATAAATAAACAGAAAAAATAATTGATATAAAATACAACAGTATATAATTCACATTTGATAAGAATTTTCAACCCATGAGGGGATAATAAAGTCCAATTTTCAGAAATTTCAAATTCTACGCATCATTGTCCATTGAATGATACAAGCTAAACAGCACTACAACAAAGTTCTACATAAAATATCCATGATACATAGCTAAAATTTGTTTTTACACATTTAATTAAAGATATAAAACTTATAATATGACAATGGGTAGAGCTGAGAGAGTGTATATGTACTGAAATGTATGTGATGGTGAAGAAAAGAGCGTGACTCACATTCACATTAGCATCCATTCAGATCCTTCTGACCTAGCTAACTTTTTATTTTATATATGTTTTAGAAGTTAAAGCGAAATTAAAATAAATATTTAATGGTACTATATAGTAATTAATGCTAATTTCCATGCTACTTAATGAAGCATTTGCGAATAGTTAACAGTAATAAGATAAATTTCTCGACTCAAGCTAAACCAAAAAAATATACATTTTATTTGTATATTCTTTTCATATTAAAATTAATTTTTTGCGTTTATTTCATTTAAATTTCCCGAAAATAGAAACTCATCATCTTATACAATAAATTGAAGTAGTATTCAACTATTTTTATTCTTAATCTTTAGAATAAAAATATTTACCTTATATTACATTTTCCACCAATAACATACACACGCATATGAACTGAAACAACTCCAACTCCACTTCTAGAGACTTGTAAATCTGCACATCGTTTCCATTGTTGTGTTTCTAAAAAATAACATTCCATTGTATTGATTGATTTATTAAAATAACCACCAGCACAATCTAAACACTTAATTCATCATCAACAAAAACAAAACAAAATAATAAAATAAAATATAAAACATACAAATAACAAGTGGTTTAATTGGTGCACGATGTGGTGGTAAACGACAATAACGATGTGATGTTAAATTTTCATATGCATTTTCTAGATAATCTCGACAACGTTGCATATCTGGTGGTGCAAATTCATCACAATTAATAACACCTTGAAGAAAAGATGGATCAAGAAATTGAAGACGAATACATGGCAAAATTTCTACAAGTTCAGCACGTCGATTTAATGGATCATGACGAACCCATTGCATAGCTGCCTAAATAATAACAATTTATAATTATCAAAAAAAGACAATAAATTTCTATATTTACATTATAAATAATTGATTCACATTTAACTTTAAGTTTATCATCTTTAATTAATGAACATAAATCAGGAAAATTAAGTGAAAGAAATTCTTCATGACGTACAACATCTTCAAAATGTTCATGAATATAATGTTGAGCAGCTTCAATTAATGGAAGACATTGATATTGTTTACCATATAATAATAATCCAACACAATTAGACGCATGTAATTGATCACGAAGATAAGCAACACATAATTCAATTAAATCATCAAGTAATAATGGAATTGAACATGTTAACACCGGCATAACCTAACGACAATATAAATAGATTATTGTGAATATTTTTCTTTTATAAAGAAAACACAAAACTTGTAAACAGGATAAAGTATTTAGAATAAAATAAGACTATAATGCTAATTTGTTTCATACGAAAAAAAAAACAAGTAAGTCATGTGACAATAGCAGAGTGTTCTTTCTTTCAGAAATAACAATTTGGCTTAATAGAAACTATGTGTTTAAGATAAAAAATATATAGATCATGAGAACATATACAAATAACTCTAATATTAATGAAAGAAAATATTGAGATTTCAGAGAACTATTAGAGAATCATAATGATCCTCTTCTATCTAAAGATTCATCATAGAAATTAATTTTCATATAACTTTTTTAATGATTAAAATAGAAACAAATATTTTCTATGTGTTCTTGTGATTAATCATTAAATTAATTTAACCTACACATTTATCATTGAGCTGAACTTGTGAAGTATAAAGAAAATCTAATATAATATTCATTGCATAGGGACAAGGCACTAATTTAGTTAAATCAATATCTTCTGTTGTATGTGCTTCAACATGACCAGATTGACCAAACATTGAAGCAAAATAGGATGATGCTGATGCTAAAACAATTTTATGTGCTAAATGTCGTTGACCTTTTACACATAAACTAACATCACAAAAAAGTTCTTGTTTTCGATACATATTCATTGTATCGATAAGACGAGCAGCTCGATCAGTTTTTAATTGATAAAGACGATCTGAACCTGATAGAAGTTTCATTGTATATTTTCCCATATCATATTCATTTAAATCATTCATTGAAAGAAATCCATCAAGTTCGTCGATCTCACTTGTGTCTATTTGCGAGTGCCCGTTTAGCATGACAATGCCTTTTCTTTTTCTAAAATAAAAAAAGAACAATACAGAACAACAAAAAAAAAAAAGATTCTGCAATATTCATCATGACACTAGCGAGTTAGCTGCTATTCGTCATTGCCAGTTGTCACTTATTGATGATGGTACAGATGAAATCTACTTATGAAATACTACTAACGACTTATTTTAGGTTTATTATATATTGGTTGTAGACAACTAAATACATAATAAAAATATTATTCGACAATGAAATTTATGNAAAAATATATTATTGGCAAAATAAATTATAACAAAGTGAAGCGAGCAAGAAATTAATTATCGATAAGAAAAACTTCATTGGTCAGATAAAAATATATATAACAGTATTGTTTATCGTCAAAATTAAGAGTTCATTCACTTTTCTAACTAAATTAATAATATTCTACAGTGTTGATTACATGTTTTAAAATTGGAGAGTTATCGAATGTATTATTGTTTGCCTTCGGATACATGTAGTTATAATTATCTATGACGAGATCTAATGATTTGACAGACAAAAACTCATTCATTGAATTATTTTTCTTCTTAGATTTTATCATTACTCTTTTAAAAATTAGAACTAACAAACAAAGAAACTGAATATGTTCTACAATCATTATTTTTCTACACTAGAAGTCTTGAAAACAATACCTGTATTCGAATGCGAATTGATTGATTTGATGATTAGAAAAACATGCTTATTATATTTCTCATTTTTTTTCTTCTTTCTTATTACTTCGATTTGTTTTTTAATAAAGAAGACATCACTTAGGTATTACATTTCTTTTTTTTCTTTCTGTTTATTCATGTACAATAGAGTGCAAAAAAAAAACATTACCGTTTGATATAGAAATTTTGTCGAGGTCTATTTCTTGGTGTGAAGAAATGATTCTTGTAATGTTATGCGAAACTGTCCGTTAATAAGTCATCTACATGTACCGTCTAATATAACATTTCTGGGATCTAATAACGAGGCACTGTTTAGCATCAAGGCTAGCAAAGCAATTTTTGAACCGCTTCTGTACAAAACTAATACTAGATCTCTTAGTGACACGGACTCCAGGTTAGTTCAAGAGTGAACAAAGAATGGAATGAAATTGGCATCTAAGTTGTAAAATCTTCGAATGCTTGCAAGAAGGCCATTTCTTTTTCTATTATCAAGTCAGTAATATTTATCGCTTTCAGTAGGAAAAATTTTCTAAACTGTAATAGTAAGTTTTTGCACTCTACTGTATATTTAAATCGTAACATATTTTAAAACTACAAAGACAATGACTCATTTCATTAACAATATTTTACAATCGTTGTTGTATTGTTTATAATAATTGTCATACAATCTTATTTTTATTCTAGAATTTAAGCAAATCCTGTCGTGACAAAGAAAATTTATTTTATTAAAAAATAGAAGATAAGTGAAATGTTTCATTTTTCTTTGGATGAAGTTCTTACAAACAATGTTTATACATATGATTATGAAAGAAAAACACATAATAAATCTCAGAAACATAACATAATGAATTATTTTTATAGATGTTCAAAAAATGATAAAATCCAATACGCATTTTGGCATTAATGTCATAGCACTGATTATGATATTCATTATCGGAACGATTTTACCAATGAACGGATTAACAACAGGTAATCTTCTTCGTAACGGAGATTTCAGTCAAATAGAATATAATGGACAACCAAGCATTTGGAACGTTAATGTCGGACAGGGTAATACTTCAGTTAGAATCTTGCCTAAAAAATACCTATCTCTCAATGTACTCCAATTGTCGGTATACACTAATCAAACTTTAGTTACACTCACTCAAACGATTAAGTTAGAGCAGAGCACAAACAAAAGTCTTCTCGTAATAACATTCTGGTATAGAACATGGATAAGCTATAGTTCTGGAAGTGTTCGATTAGAATTCTATGATAGTTCAAACTCTAGAATTGGAAACGAATATTTGAAATCTCTTTCCAGCAATTTAACATGGAACTATGCTCATATCAAAAGAACTATTCATAACTATTCAGTATTTGCTAAAATTGTAATCAGGATGTCTAATTCTATAGGAGACATTTTAATGGCTAATATTTCTGTTGAACAAGTAGATTTTTGGAAGAATGCGACATTCTTTGTATCTCCAAGACAAGATGGAACGATGTTTATTCAATGGAACTTTGAAAATAATAGAATTAATATCGCTAGTTATGATATTTACAGAGGCAAAGGAATATTGTCTGCACTAAACGATACTCATCTTTTGGTAACTATTCCGACAATGTATTCATATGGAAAGAATATATACGAGTCGATGTATACAGATCACTCCGTTCACTTGGACACAATATATACGTATCAAGTAGTCGCTCGAGACTCGAACAAAAAAATTATTGATCAAACGATACTTATAATTGGTCAAGCAGACTTGGGAAAAGAGTATCATAATATTACGATACTTATTGCTTTTCCAAGAACAAATGGCATCCATCTTAGTTGGAGACTCAAAGCAAGAAATGCAGCTAAATATGTTACTCTTTACAATGGTATCAATAGTATATCTAAAATTAGCAATAGTGAAACTCAGCTTTTAGGTAGATATCCAGTAGAAGATATGAAAGCAATCGTCTCATTATCCAATATCGGTCCTTTTCTTCTCGTATCTGATGATGGAAATGATGTGGCAACTGTTAAACTCGCTAATCTTACTCGTCCACGGATAGTCCTGACACCAACACATCTAAATTTCATTCGAGAGAAAATCAATCAATCAGGACATGCACAAGAGGTTTTTAAAGCACTCATAAAAAGTATTTATACCTATAAGCCTGATAATTCTTTTAATTATTGTTGGCCTGCACGAGATGCAGCTCTACTGTACACTATCACAAGAGATATTAATTATGCTCATATCGCATATTTAGCATTAAATGCCAATAGAATAAATTATACAATATATGATAAATCTGCTATCAAACTTCGATTCAGTCTTAGTACGATGGCTCGATCACAAGCTTTTGATTGGGCTTACGATGCTTTTACCATAGAACAACGACGAGAACTGATGAATGATTTTCAATATACTGCATCGATATTTACATCTTATTCAGGTAGAATCAAAAGGAAGATCAAATGAATTATTCGAGCTTTAATCAAAAAGTTTATCTGTTAAGTTTATTGTTTTTTCTCAAAAAGTCTATTATATAGCCTGAGTAACAAATTTTGTTTATAAACTGCTTTGAATAAATCACCATCTATCCTAACAAAAAGAAATCAGGAGGCAAAAAAAAAAACATTTTTCTTCATACTACAGAATTCGTTTGAAACCTAATTTTCTCATAGATTATCATTCAGGAAATACAAATGATAAAGGAAGTAATNAATAGTTGATAACCGTTTCCGGAAACATGGGAGAGCTATGGTTGTTTACATATAATTCTGAGAAAAAGACGAATTGTTGAGAACCTTTTATTTTTCGTGTTTCAAGATAATTAAAATGAACATACCAAATAATGATAGTTGTGAACATCTTCCATATAACTAATACCATTTAATACAGTTGTGAAGTCATGTGATAATAGATAACGAGTCACAAGTCTAACTAAAAGATTATATGTTAATAAACATTGATAGAGTCCTTGGGATAGTGATTTTCGTCATGTTTATTTTACGATTTCTTTTCTACTCAGATCAAGTCTGGTTACGTTGACGAAAAAAAAAGTAACTCCAGTAGAGCAAGAATAGTTAATGCTTTGTCAAAGTACAGGATTTATGTGAACACATCAAGATAAAATGTGTCGCATGTGTCGTATTTTGCAACACAATATATGACACATCCATCATATTGCTCGATTGACTTGCGAACGCATTCATAATCATATTTTACAATCACCTTAAAATCATGAGTCGTATCATATACTCTATTCTCCAAAATAATTTCTTAAATATTTTATTATTTATTGATTATTCAACTCATTATCAGACAGCAAATTTTTTGACATAGCAGATTTTTTTTTCGTATTCAGTAATTACATTTTGACCCGTTAGTGTTAGTTTTTTTGCAACAGAATTTTTTAAGTTTGTTGTTGTTGTTGCTACTTTCATAAAGTACAAAATAATCTAGCACTTGCAATATTAGTTTGCTACATTGTAGAAATTCTCTATCAGTAATATAAAAAATGACCAACAAGACAGATAACGTTTATCAAATGAAAAACTAAATACAAGTTTATATTTTATTTTTTATATCATAAATTAATTGATAATTATTTAAATATTCAGTTGAATTGAAGTAACTTCAACAAACTATTTTTGTCGAAGCTGTAACCTCGATACAACATATATATATATAAACTAGATAGAAGATTGATGAATTAATCTACTATATATATATGCATAGTATTTATTTTTCATTTTTCTGTTATTTTGCAGATGGTAAATGCATCTCATTGAAAGCTCAGATAAACTAATGAATGATTGTTGCTTCAAATCTATTATGCCATTCATAGCAGTTCTATGAACTTTATATGTTAAATTATTTAAAACTCTTTTGCCTTGAAATTATATACTATGTTGTTTATATATCCATCGCAAAATAGGTGTAGCTTGTGCATATTGATGCTCATAAGTGAATTAATGAAGCATGACTTATGAATGATAGATTTATTTTAACATTATGTATATGTTTTGTTTGTGTCGTTCTAGAGCGCTCGTGTATGGAGTGATATACTTAAACGACAAAACAAAAAGAAGAGCGTTTTAAAAAATAAAAGAAGATAAGTGTTGGTGCTTTAATTTGATACCATTATTTATTTATTTATTTTCAGCAAATGCCAACCATATTCCTAACAAGAATTTATGTTTGAATTTCACTTTCTTCATTCATCTTTGCTGAAAAAATGATCTAATCCGAATTTTGTTATAAAATTCGTTCCATAATGAAGTATTTTTAAAAGAGTGAAGTTGAAAGATCTGATTTACAGACTTTTTAAATTTTTTCCTGATATATTCTTACATAATAATCTAGAACTTGTCTTCTCTTATCTCCAGTTATTTATTCAATTTATTAGGAAACTGAATGAAAACATCCAATCAAGCTAACAATTACAAGTTCCTTTTTAAAATTCATATTAGCTATAGATTAAAGGTTTATAGCATTAAGTAATTATATTCTCTACTATGGTGTGTACTTTAACTATTCAACTGCTTTGTCACTCGATTGTTGAGAAGCTTATTTAGATAAACAGAGATTATGTGATGTCACAGGTCGCCAGAGTTTTTTTTACATGAGACACTTACCAAATAGAAGAAGATATAAACACTGTTGTGGGTTAACGAAATCTATAGATTACATTAAATGACAATATGATTTCTTCGTATCATATTGAACTTTTCATAAAAAAAGTGTCAATTGAATATGACGGTGTTCAATTTGTATGAAAAATAACAAAACTTAGCAATTGCTTTTAATTGTTGACGACAAAAATATATTATTGGCAAAATAAATTATAACTAAGTGAAGCGAGCAAGAAATTAATTATCGATAAGAAAAACTTCATTGGTCAGATAAAAATATATATAACAGTATTGTTTATCTTCAAAATTAAGAGTTCATTCACTTTTCTAACTAAATTAATAATATTCTATAGTGTTGATTACATGTTTTAAAATTGGAGAGTTATCGAATGCATTATTGTTTGCCTTCGGATACATGTAGTTATAATTATCTATGACGAAATCTAATGATTTGACAAACAAAAACTCATCTTCATTGAATTATTTTTCTTTTTAGATTTTATCATTACTCTTTTAAAAATTAGAACTAACAAACAAAGAAACCGAATATGTTCTACAATCATTATGCTTCTACGCTAGAAGTCTTGAAAACAATATCTGTATTCGAATGCGAATTGATTGATTTGATGATTAGAAAAACATGCTTATCATATTTCTCATTTTTTCTTCTTTCTTGTTACTTCGATTTGTTTTTTAATAAAGAAGACATCACTTAGGTATTACATTTCTTTTTTTTCTTTCTGTTTATTCATGTACAGTAGAGTGCAAAAAAAAACATTACCGTTTGATATAGAAATTTTGTCGAGGTCTGTTTCTTGGTATGAAGAAATGATTCTTGTAATGTTATGTGAAACTGTTCGTGTGAATAAGATATCTACATGTACCATCTAATATAACATTTTCTGGATCTAAGAACAAGGCACTGTTCAGCATCAAGGCTAGTAAAGCAATTTTTGAACCGCTTCTGCACGAAACTAATACTAGATCTCTTAGTGACATGGACTCCAGGTTAGTTCAAGAGTGAACAAAGAATGGAATGGAATTGGCATCTAAGCTGTAAACTCTTTGAATGCTTGCAAGAAAGCCATTTCTTTTTCTATTATCAAGTCATTAATATTTATCGCTTTTAGTAGGAAAAATTTTTAAAACTGTAATAGTAAGTTTTTGCACTCTACTGTATATTTAAATCGTAATATATCTTAAAACTACAAAGACAATGACTCATTTCATTAACAATATTTTACAATCTATGTTGTATTGTTTATAATAATTGTCATAAAATTTTATTTTTATTCTACAATTTAAGCAAACCCTGTTGTGACAAAGGAAATTTATTTTATTAAAAAATAGAAGATAAGTGAAATGTTTCATTTATACATATGATTATGAAAGGAAAACACACAATAAATCTCAGAAACATAACATAATGAATTATTTTTATAGATGTTCAAAAAATGATAAAAACCAATACGCATTTTGGCAGTAATGTCATAGCACTGATTATGATATTCATTATCGGAACGATTTTACCAATCAAAGGATTAACAACAGGTAATCTTCTTCGTAACGGAGATTTCAGTCAAATAGAATATGATGGACAACCAAGCATTTGGAACGTTAATGTCGGACAGGGTAATACTTCAGTTAGAATCCTGCCTAAAAATTATCTATCTCTCAATGTACTCCAATTGTTGGTATACACTAATCAAACTTTAGTTACACTCACTCAAACGATTAAGTTAGAGCAGAGCACAAACAAAAATCTTCTCGTAATGACATTCTGGTATAGAACATGGATAAGCTATGGTTCTGGAAGTGTTTGATTAGAATTCTATGATAGTTCAAACTCTAGAATTGGAAACGAATATTTGAAATCTCTTTCCAGCAATTTCACATGGATCTATGCTCATATCAAAAGATCTGTTCATAGCTATGCAGTATTTGCTAAAATTGTAATCAGGATGTATAATTCTATCTGAGACGTTTTAATGGCTAATATTTCTGTTGAACAAGTAGATTTTTGGAAGAATGCGACATTCTTTGTATCTCCAAGACAAGACGGAACAATGTTTATTCAATGGAACTTTGAAAATAATGGAATTAATATCGCTAGTTATGATATTTACAGAGGCAAAGGAATATTGTCTGCACTTAATGATACTCATCTTTTCGTAACCATTCCGACAATGTCTGCATATGGAAAGAATATATACGAGTCGATGTATACAGATCACTCCGTTGACTTGGACACAATATATACGTATTAAGTAGTCGCTCGACACTCGAATAGAACAATTATTGATCGAACGATACTTATCATTGATCAAGCAGATTTGGGAGAAGGGTATCATAATATTACGACACTTATTGCTTTTCCAAGAACAAATGGCATCCATTTTAGTTGGAGACTCAAAGCAAGAAGTGCAGCTAAATATGTTACTCTTTACAATGGTATCAATAGTATATCTAAAATTAGCAATAGTGAAACTCAGCTTTTAGGTAGATATCCAGTAGAAGATATGAAAGCAGTCGTCTCATTATCCAATATCGGTTCTTTTCTTGTCATATCTGATGATGGAAATGATGTGGCCATTGTTAAACTCGCTAATCTTACTCATCCACGGATAGTCCTTACACCAACACATCTAAATTTCATTCGAGAGAAAATCAATCAATCAGGACATGCACAAGAGGTTTTTAAAGCACTCATAAAAAGTATTTATACCTATGAGCCTGATAATTCTTTTAATTATTGTTGGCCTGCACGAGATGCAGCTCTACTGTATACTATCACAAGAGATATTAATTATGCTCATATCGCATGTTTAGCATTAAACGCCAATAGAATAAATTATACAATATATGATAACTCTACTATCAAACTTCGATTCAGTTTTAGTACGATGGCTCGAGCACAAGCTTTTGATTGGGCTTACGATACTTTTACCACAGAACAACGACGAGAACTGATGAATGATTTTCAATTGATCAAATGAATTATTCGAGCGTTAACTAAAAGTTTATCTGTTAAATTTTTTGTTTTTTCTCAAAAAGTCTATCATATAGCTTGAGTAACAAATTTTGTTTATAAACTGCTTTGAATAAATCACCATCTATCTTTAAAAAAAGAAATCAGGAATCAGGAGGCAAAAAAAAACATTTTTCTTCATACTACAGAATTCGTTTGAAACCTAATTTTCTCATAGATGATCATTCACGAAATCCAAATGATAAAGCAAGTAATTGGATTGGGATTGTAAAATCAGGTGAATTGATTCAACATCTTAGTCTTTATGGTGAAGAAGGATATCCAGATGATCAAGCCGAAAGACGAATTTTATTTCTTTTGAACGAATTGAAACTACATCTCGAACAGTCTTATGGTCCTTCTGGCTATATGCAAGAAGGATTTAGCTATCTTGCATACATATTACCCATTCTTGGTCCAGCTGTTTATCTAGCAAAGCATATGGAAATCTCCATTTTCGATGAAGCTTGGTCTCGTCCAGATTGGCATAACTTAGCTTTACACATAATTTCATTGAGACAACAGAGAAATTCTTTGCAATTTGGTGTATCAGACTCAACTTATTCGTACAATGGATTTATGCCATTTATTTTCAACTCTACTAATGACACAAACATAAAGGCTGCTCTAAAATGGTTGTATGATCGTACCATGGGAATCAATTCGTCTTCACCAGCATACGACGGTAAAGATAAAAGTGCTGCATTGTTGTACTATCCATATGAAATAGCAGCTCAGTATCCGAGCATTGCATTTCCAAGATCAATTTCAATGATTAGTGACAAAATCGATGGATTCTATGGATTTCACAATCGTTATCGAGATGAGAACGATGTACTAATTGCACTTATGAATCGAAATAGACGTCATAGAGGATAGAATGCGAATGAAATATCTGCATTGTCAATAATAAGTCATAATACCACTTGGGCACGAATGCCTGGAAAAGAATTTAAACATTATAATCCTGACGAGAAAGTTCAGTACACCGCTCATCGACGGATGGCCTAGAGAACCGCCAAAAGGAAAGAAACTTGGTTACACAAGAACAATAAAATCATTCAGTGGTCAAGGTGGTGGATATGTCTCCATTGATTCTAGTGTAAATTTAAATATTACTCTTGCACAACGAGATATACTTGTTGACATGATAAAAAGAGGTAATATCGACACAATAATAGCTATACAGGATCAATTTGTTAACAATTTATCACATTTTTGGCATTGGCAACTTAGTCCTGATCCTGGTGAGACTAATATTACATTAGGAAACGGAAATAACGTGTCAACATTCATTATAAGAGGACGAAATGGAAGTTGGCTCAAAGGTTGGCTCTACAATAATCAAAACGCTATTTATAATAATATTGACGAAGTATTACGAATTATAAAATATGGTTTCAGTGCAAACTTCAAGATCGCTATGGCTCTCGGCATGGGTACTGAACCATTTGCTAATAGAACAGCAACCGGTATCAATATTGATGATGTTTGTATCAATTTTGATACATTATTTCAAAGTTTACAGATCATTTTCAACATTCACTCACTTCTCTATATTTTTAATAAATTAATCACAGGAAAATGTTTATTTTTAATCATATTTTTCTTTTAGTGCCCAACGACAACAATGGTAATGTCAACTATTGCTCCTGACATTAAGGTGGTTATTGAAATATGTTCTTTCTTATTCTTTAGTCATTTGATGAATATATTATTTCGTTTAGAAACCATCAATTGTAATAATTTCTATTGCAAGTATACTTATTGGTTTAGCTGTTCTTATTATAATCGGTATTTTGCTAAGAAAAAGAATACGCAGGTAAATTCAAGACAATCTTAAATAATTTTCTAAAAGATTTACTATATAGAAATAATCGTGTTAGTGCAATGTTAAAAACGAAAACAAATGTAAGCTGAATTTATTTTTCCATATAAAATTTGAATAGAATGAATATGTTTTTTTTGTCAGAATACTGATAAATTATCGTCGTTATCCATTCAAGCGTTACCCAAAAATAACATTATTAATCAACCAAATTTTAACATAAATTGATCATTTAAAAATAAACTGCAGACATTTGTCATAATTATTATTAAAGACTTATTTCAGCAATGTTTTGTCAGTTATTTTTCTTGTAATAAATCATTTGACAAATTTGAAAACGACAATTCATGAAAACTATAAAACTCTAGTTTCTCGTCATACAGCTATCTGCGTCACGAACTAATATAACAATAAATATGATTGATGATTAAAAGTCTCTGAATTAATAGAGCATATGATTATATTAGAATTAGGATAGAAAAATGAACGAAAATCGATCCATACGCTTATTCTTTCACCAATGAAATCAATATGAAACTCACAATAATACTTATTTCAATACGGATAAATGATTGTAGTGATTATTGAAAATAAAGAGAATTTTTTCCGAAAAATAGATTTCATTCGATTAGATCAAGGTTTTTCTAATGAATCTAATTGAGAGATCAAGATGGATAGAAAGAAACCATTTTTCAAAAAATGGTAAAATCTTATTATTTTCTTCATTTATTTATGAGACAATTTTTAATTGTGTACAGACAAGTATGATTCAAGAATCATGAGTAGGAGTATTATAAATAATTGTTCTCAGATGTTTAATTCAGTCGAACTTGTCGAAGTCTCTTCTATTTATTATCGTCAGTCACGATTACTGAACATAAACTGCTCATTACATATAAAGGGTGTGGGTGTACAGGGGAAGCAAACTTATCACTGCATCCACTCAGGAGGATATTCTCAGCTTCATCCACATCAGGACAACATTGCGTTGAGGACGGGCGTTTTAGTACTTATGATATTCAACAATAGCGAACTTTTAGATTTCTCTACTTCGGAATGTAACACCAGCTTTTTGGTCTGTTATATGTCTGTTGGCATGAATGGCACTGAAATTTCTCATTTTGTTCTTCAATACATATTGCCAATGGTATTGCATAAAAGGCACACATTTTCGACAACATCAGAGTTTTTACTAACTATAGTGAAGAACTTCCTTATTAATGGTATATCATTCCAAAGCCCAAATTTATAGTGCCAGATTTCAATTGAGCTGAGCACAAATAAATCAACTGCGAATTTGTTGTGGTCGTACATTTACTGCCAATGCTTTGCTCAAACGAATCGAGGGTCTCGAAACACTAATGTCAGTGCGTAGGTATGAATCCTCAAGCAGGTCAACTCAATTAGATACCAAATAAGAACACAACGATGGTTGACATTTCGTGTAGTAAGCCCAGTATGAAACATTAAATGACGAACCTTCTAGAGACATATTTAGAACTAAATTGTCGATAGTCTCATTAGGCTGAATACAGAACTCATTATAGAGACAAATGTGATGTCATTGAAAAACCAATTTCGTAGGTGTACAACCGAGAACAAAACTAGGTACGAGGTGACCACTGACAAACATTACTTCAGTACATTCATATGAGATAGTATATGAACAATTCTGACCATGGAATACTCATTGAATTACTATACGAAAATAGAACATATCTGTATGGTAATCCTGTGACCGTACTTCAGAAATGCCGACAATGTCGAATCTGAAACGTTTCATTTCGTTTCTTAGAAGTTCCAATTTTCCTGTTGCCCACAGAGTTTGTACATTCCATGTGCCAACTGTGAATGTATCTTTCGCTATCTTTATTCTCTATGAGCCACCGTTTGTCTTTGTTAGTGTTACTTCTGCTTCTCTATTTATATTCTTTATTCCTGTCGTTGTTTCTGTCTTTCCAGTTGCCAATTTTTCGACTCTGTCCTGGTTGCCCGACAGAGGACGCGGACCTTGTTTACCCGGGCGACGTCCGAGCCGGTATGGATTTCGATTATGATCGTTCATGGTTGGTTTCTTTCGTCTTGTTCTTTTTACAGACGGCGGTATCTGCACCCCTTCCGTCCAACGTTCCTCCTTTATTCGGACTTGCGACCGACACAGAAATCGCAGGGTTGCGATCTCCGTGGTGGAGTTAAATTATGTTTTACGCATTTTTATTCAAAATATTTCTGATCGTAGAAATTCAACAGATAAAATAATTTGAAAAAACATTCTTTTACGGTTGCAAAACAGCCAGCTAGTAAGAACAATCAACTTAATCAACCATTTTTGTTTTAAAGAAAAAACTATATTTCGGTGTAAAAGCTGAGAGAAATTTAACTTTCGACACACCAGTGAAAAGAGCACTCTTTACGCTATAAAAATTAGTATAAAACTTTTTTTTTTTTTCATTTTCCTTCTGATTTACAAAATAAAACTAACAAACAATAAATCAATGCTCTTGCTCGATAGTGAAGTTAGAAGAACGTTTTTGGAGATGTTTGGTTTTGAACTATTCTTGTTTGTCAAGTTCATTCTGAAGAAAGAATATATCGAGCAGAACATTTATTGTTCAGAAATTGCTCTTCTTAACAAAAAGAATTTCTTTATTTAGAAGTCAGCAATACAATATAACAGAGTTTGAAATATTTTAAAGACTTTTACATCGTATATTTATTGGTCAATAATAAATCTATTAGAAAAAAAGAGAATTATATTTGTTTTTGAACTTACAAATTGTCTATATATTTTAAACGATTCATTTTTATGTATTACAAAAAAAAAAAAAAAAACTTATTCATTTATATATCTACATAAAGATTTGAGGAGCACAATTTTATTTATCATATTCCATCATGTCGAAACTTTGATTGATAAATAAAAATAAAGATATAATATATAATAAATAGTTTGACTTTTTTACTTATTCTGAAATTAAAAATATTGTAAATAATGTTACAAACTGATTAAAAAAATAAAATGATATTTTGTATTTAAACTTACTACGATATTCGATTGTTAATTAAATAATAAACTTATTCGAAAAAGAAGTGTAAAAAATAATAATATATAAATTCATTCAATATTAACTTCAAATCTTAATTGATAAATTAAATTAAAGAATATATAGAAAAAAAAATATTTTATTTGAACTTTTTACTAAATTTAAATTTTGAATAATATATCTAAACAACAAAAAAATACCCGAATAACGATTTAATCTGCATAAATAGACACTCGATTTTTCTTCGTTTGCCCTATTTAGACATGTTTTATTTATCTTAATAGAAAATCGGTTGGTTTTATCATACAAAATATAGTAAATATACTTAAAACGTTGTCTGATAATAAAGAAAAAAAAAAAAAGAAAAATTATATTCTTTGATGTTATTCAATTTCGTCAGATCCAACTGAATGATTTCGATCTATTTAGGGGCTTAAGACAAACAAATCAATTTTATTTTAAATTTCGCTAACTAGAAAATGTCATCACTTCTTATTTACAAATTATGATGGTTATTTATTAATTAGAGAAATGAAAAACTCTGATTACAAAACTCTACTTAAAGTTATTAATAAACTAAAAAGTTCGAGTGTTGAATTGTATCTATCATTTATACAAATTTTAGACAGTTTCGTATTCTTATTTTTTTGTTTTTGTCTAAGCATATCTTTAAAAAGTTCTTTTGATCATCGAGACGTATTGAAGTATTTTTCAATTCAAAAAATGCTTAATGTAGTTTCAATAAATAATTAACATCTAATCGGTTTATTTCGAATACGTCAGATGTTCTTGACACTAAAAGTACGAATTCATGCTGTTACCATAGTGTGTTTAAACACGTCAATGTTTATCTTGGCGTTCATATGGACAGGATAAATTGTATGTTTCTGATATATCAGTATCAGTTATAGATTTAGTTTTAATTAAATTTTATCATTTCATCTGTAATTTATTTAGTCAATGTATTATATTTGTAATGATTTCAATAATCATTTTAGAAAAGTGGCCGATAATTACAAAATAAAGGCATAGTAATTACGGATTGTATTTACTTCATGTAGACATTATTTCGAGATTAATGTTTGATTACTATAGAAAGAGAAAGAAACAAAAAACAGTTGCACTGTCTGATTTGTTCTGAGCTATGAACGATATAGATTGATAGAAAATTTTCTTCTCTTTCATTAATTATTTAAAAAAAAGTGGTTCTATAAACGAATGATGATACACAGTTCATTTCACATAAAGCCTGTTGTGAGACTCCAACTAAACTACATACAATAAAGCTGTTTGAGAGTCGTCAATATAGTTAGAAAAAGTTTTAATTAAACAGCTTATGCCCAAGATTTTTTGTTTGATAAAAAGTTCTTTTTTTTATGCTAATATTCATAGATAATTTTCTAGAAAAAATCGTTTCGTTCATGCAAATAATAATAACGATAGAATACTTATGATTGTAAATGTAAGAAATAAGCCATTCATTGCTACAATGTTTATATTAGTAGAAAGATCCAATGAAAATGAATCTTGACAAAATTTTTCTTCTAATCATTTTGTTTTTAAGTAATTAAGAGCATCTGATTATCTTAATGATAATAAAATAGCATCGAAGTCTTTTGAATATAACCATTGTTTAGAAATAACAAAATAATATGTACTACAATAATAATTTGTCATAATGATAATTAGATAATGATAGACGTTGTTAGTTGTATATTCTAAAAGATCAATATCTAAAACCGATGCATCAATAATATTATTTCAAATTTTAATTAACTTTAGAGACCTCATGTAAATAAAAGTCTTTCAATAATTATCTCTCAAAAATATCAATACAACAAAATAATTATTTTTCATTTTTGATATCATCACTTCTAAAAATAATATCTTTTGGCATTCATATCGTTAAATCAGATGATAACTTTGCAATATTCCTTGTTGTTAATACCAAAACTTATGATATATAAACCTGCATTTAATAATCGTTCAGAAGCTAAATGAACATGAAAATGTGCACCATATTCCATCATAATATCAATAGAATATCACATACTACTAAGAAGATGACAACGGAGGGTAAAATGCCATACATAAACAATCAATAAAATTAAGAAGCGAAAGCAGACAACAGCACAAAAAAAAAACTAAACCGAGAATATCACAGATTTGTCATCTGTTTTTGAAGTCTTTCGTACAAGAATGATAACACATGAAGATTTGAAGAAATACCTAACACTTATGTTTGATTGCAGGTTTACTGCACACTAAAATATGTTGTACTTTGTGACACAATATGCGACACAATTAAATAGGAGTGGAGGTGCTTATTGTAACACATTTTGTTCAGCAATGGTGTACCACATTCGTGTGTGACATATTTTAGAAAGGCGGCTCGAATCTAATCTTCAGCGCATTGGTGATGTCTTTTCAGCAGAAACGAATAATTATTATTGTTTCAGTTTTGTTCGATGCACAAAGCAATTAGGTTTTGAGATCTACCCGTCTCGAATTCGTATGATCATATCACTTCAAGGTAGTTCATTCTCGATCATCGATTTATCTCTCAGCATGTTCTTAACCAATAAATAATCGAAAAGTAATCTAGATTAAAAGACATACAAAAACACCTAAATTCATTATATTTAATTGAGTTAATAACGCATATATAGGCATATTAGAAAAATAAAATGTTGAATGAATAGTTAGCAAATAGACCACAACACATTCATAATACCACACATTTTGTCTGCGACACACTTTATTGTATTATGTAATTCTAATCAAGAAAGCTCCACGGCTAATCTTAACTATTTAATTCAGTTCGTAGTTGCGTTGACGGCAAGTGAAAGTGAGAAATTCAATTCGTTTTTTTGCTCTTCATAGCGTGGACATTAAGATCATATATATTTTCATTCTGTGGGAAGATTCAATCATTTGTCTTGTATCACTGATTCATTCATTACTTGAAAAACCAGTTTGTCGTTCGTTACTCGAAATACATTCGTTGATCGATTAAAGAGTATCGAAAATTTTTTTTAATCAAGAAAATAAACTTTCAACAGATATTATTCGTTACGTAAGAGCCTAGAAAGAGCGCGTATTTATATTTTACATTAAAACACAGATCGACAACAAGATTGACATTGAATTACTGGTGTATCCTACGAAATAAAAGCAAATAGTTGGTTTTAAGATTCATCTGAAGAATTTTGAAATAGAAATCCATATTCCATTAAATTTTTGTTGTCCTAAAATGATTACAATATAGACATGCATAAACTCTCTTGAATTCTAAGAAACTGATATGAACCAGTTTAATACTGTTTCCATACTTCTTTTCTGTCAATAGGTAAAATTCGAGTTCTTACAAAAATTCGTCCTAAAAATTCATTGTAATACGCTTCTATTAGTGGTCTATAACCGTTTTAATATTAGTTAGAGTTATGGATAACGAATGTGTTGCCAATGTATCATGAGAAAACAGAACATTTACAAAACTATGCCTTTACATAATTTGATAAATAGCTATTATAGTAAGACTGATTTATTACATGATACTGTAGACTGTATATCTAGTTTCACAATAACAGCGATTTATGCATAGTACAATAGTGATGAAGTCACTGTTAAACTTCTGTTCAACCATGAGTTATGTGTTTGATAATATTTGCATTCTCAATTCTCTCTCGATGTTTAATTAGATTTGTTTTACAAGATCTGTAGAAGACTTTTGAATTTTTGTTATTCTTAGAAAAATAGTTTCTTGTTCGATCTATTCTTTGTCGTTTCAAGGTCTCTGATCAATTATGAGAAAGTTTAAAGCTGTAACATCATTTTTTCTTAAGTCTCTTCTTAACACAGATTGTACAAGGATATATCGAGATCACTAAACACATTCTAATGCAACAAACATTCGACAAAGATTCGATCCGAAATCGACTCTATGGTCATTGAAACTGCACTTAAATAAAAATAAAAGAATGATAATAAGTATTTGTTACTTTCTCGCTTGTTATTCATGAACCAGAAGAAAGCTAATTCTTATGTAAAATATTCTATGTTTTCTATGAATTTATGTTTAGTTTTCAACGAAAATGCTAATCGATTCACTTGACAATGAAGAATTTTTGTCAACACTCTGATGTAACGTTTTTCTTTCTGACAAATTGGTTTAAAGAGTTATTGCTTAGTGTTCTTATTATTAAAATAATGTTGTCCATTAGTGAATATTTGTATATATTTAATTTTTTTCCGTAATCGTCATAGTTGTGACATTGAACCATTCTCAAAATAAGAATGTATGAAAACTTTTTGTTTTATTCGAATATATCTCTGTTGAATGCTATTTTTTAGAAAAAGAAAACAATTTTGAACTTCTATCGATTGTATCTATTTATTTCAATCACAGACATACATTGTTTAACTATAGAGAATCAATGATAAATCGTTTTGTTTTGTTTTTCGTTTAAAGTCAAGAAAAGTTCATACCAATATTCAAAGAAGTATGAATAGTTATTTACTATGAAATACTATAGGATAAAATGAACATACTTCTTAACTTTCGGCTAGTATACATTTTAACTATCACAACATTCGAGAGAAAAACAAGGAGACTTCAAGACTTCGCTAGACGTCATTTGACTTCAAAAGATTTTCAAAGACTTCAAGAGACTTCACGAAATTTTATAACACTTAAAAGTTGAAATCTTCACCATATATATTTATGGAAAATATCTATCCATCCAATTAATGAATCAGTTTTAGAATCATACAGAAAACATTTCAGAAGGATCATTATTACCTATTAACTTAAACTCTGTTACATCATTTCGATTATTACAAAGAATCTTGATTAAGAAAAGTGAATTTAGTTTTGTAGTTTTCCTGATGAATTATCATGAGAACATTGTTTAATGATGTTAACGATGCTTGGTAGGATTTTCTTTCCACATTCACTGTTATTTCACATCTGCACTTACATTGTCTCATCTATAACGGCTTCATTTATCATTTAGTCACCATGAAAGCATTGTATGCTACTTTTAAATTGAATTCAACTTAAAATTACTCATATACCGAAGAAAAATTGTGTTACACAACTGAAGAGCCTGTTTGTGCTAAATTACTGTTCAACTTTAAGGAAACACGTTTTTTCATTGTACACATAGTTGCTTCTGACAATCAGTTTGAGCGATCTTTCTCAGTTCGATGAGTGAAGATAATTTTTAATTTCCGTTCATCAAAATTTGCACTAACACGTTTGTTTCTTTATTCTATACCTCATTTTAACAGTATTTAAGTTGTTCTCTTGAATTTAAAGTTTATTTTAAAATTAAAATCAATACATTAATAAAAACTGTCAATAGAAAACTTAAAGATTTGTCATTCGCACTGTCAACCAATTGTTTGACCTGATTTACTTGAATAATTCTGACTCCACGTTGTTTCAAATAGTCCAATCGTTCTTTGATTGTTTCCAGAGCGACGCCTCTACTAGCATCTTCGATAAGGTACGTTGTATAATTCAAATTGAATGCATCAAGAGCAGTTGCAGATACACAATAATCTGTAGCCAATCCGGCAACAAAAACTCGTGTAACATTCCGTTCTCGAAGTTTCTTGTCGAGTTCAGTTTTCTGAGCTTGATTATTGTCCGCAAACGCTGAATAACTGTCGATATCAGGATCGATACCTTTTCTAATGTGAATAACGTTGTTATTTGTCGGTGCAACATAAAGATTTTTATGTAGAGCTGCATCTTCTGTTTCTTGTATGCAATGTGAGGGCCATAAGACTTGTTTTGTTTCGACTTTTGGACCGGTGTAAAAGACTTCGTCGAGTAGATGTATCGTTCGATTTTGATCACCTTTTAAATACTGTCTACGTAATTCAAGATTTTCGAAAAAAGAAATATGGTTTCGTGGATGCCAATCATATGAATACACAATAACATGAAATGGAACCGTTTTAATTAAATTATTGATAATAGGAACAACTTCGGTACCATCCTGACGAGCAGAATTATTGGACATAGCAAGATTCCCAGTAATAAAACAATTTTGAACATCGATAACAAGCATTGCGTTTACATGACTTGATGACTTCTGACCTAGAATAGTGAAAGATTATTACTGCACGTTTTATACTTCTAGTTTTACCTTTTGATGTGTCGACTGTCGTGAAAGCGGAAATAGTTTCTATAATCACAAAAATGATAAAAACCAACGAATACAATCGATTCATATCGAACCAAATTACTATGAATTCAAAAATTTTCAGATAGTGTTGAACCAATTAATGCAACTACCTTTATAAATTCTCTAAAAGTAAATACGCAAAATAAGTGAGATGAAATAAGAAACGATGTATATTTTATGTCGCAATTCTACTATTTGCTCTAAAAATAATCTCTCTGAAGATCAAATAACTCACACCAGGTTATTGCTATGGCCTTAAGTATGTTGACTGCTGTCCTAGTCAATATTTGGTGTTCTGTATCTCACATCTTTGACAACTCCGTGAAAAACAAAAAAAAATACGAAAGCTTCAATAACAAGTGTGCAGAGATCAAATTAAGGTTAACGATAGCTATTCTTCTACTGACAAAAAACGAACATCAATGAATAAGTATGTAAATGTGATGATGATAAATTGAGTGACGAATAGAAATATAGCTTTCGAGTGTATCTATGATTCCTCGTAGTTGAAAAAAAATGAAGTAGTTGGCTTTAAACTGATATTCTGGTTTGTATTGAAATATTGTCTTCAATCTTTTTCAAAATGATTGAATGATAACATGGTAGACTATGTAGCAATATAGTTACCCAGTACATAAATAAAAATCGGAGTAAACTATAGTATGAAATGCTGTTTATGTCAGCAAATTGGTAATGATATCGTTTTTCTATATTAATTATCAGATATTGTTATATGTTGGTCGTTTTTAATAACAGTCTATTGAGCGTAGTTTAGCTGAATTTCTCCTATCATTCATTGATATACATCAGAATAAGTGAAGGTTCAATGTTTCAGAATAGAAGTAAAGAAGTCGATTATGAATCGTTGATATAACGAGCATAACGTAGTATACCTACAAGTAAACATATATTTACTTTCATTTCAAAATCTTCTTTTTTTTTTGTTTATTGACTTTGAATTCATGACTGTTGAAAGACATTGTAAACATGCACTATAAATGTCATGATAGAACAATACTTCAATGCTGATTTATTCATGCATATTGTATTATCTGCTCATTTTAAGCAATATACTCTTGTTTTCAAACTAGAATAATCTCAATTCTTTATTGAATGTCTTCGCAATAATGATAATTATTTAGATCAAGTCTTCGCAATAAGGAAGAGCAAGATGCAAATATCTCTATGGCTGAAGAACGAAGTGCTTTAAAAATCTTTATCAGAGCTATGTGGGTGACAAATAAAATTTGAAAAAAAAACAAGTTTTAATTAAAAAACAATGTGTAAATGAATCAGCAGTGAACAACAATCTAATCAGTGGGAAAAATGATCATTTCAAACGAGAGAAAGACGTTCGAAGCAAAAAGAAATACTATTTATGCATCACAAGAAATGTCACAGTATTGTAGGGTCAAGACAGCTATTCAATCTTAAAAAATGTAGACATACAATAACAATGGAAAAATGAAACGGCAGCGGATGAATCCTTTATTACAGAGGAAAAAAGTATTTCTACTGATACGGATAATTTTCAAAGAAAAGAGTAAAATGTCTCTCATTTATCCGTACATATATATATATATATGTTACGGTCAAAATTGGAATCTGGTCAAATTTAGAATTTGACTGCACAAAATTGGAATTCCAATTTTGTCCGGATGAAATTATAATCGGACTAGAAATCAACTGGATGGGTCTGCGTGGGAGTGGGTGAGTGTAAGATGTTGGGTACGGGTGTGAACCTTCCTCTTGTCTCATATCCACAACTACACTCCAACGCAGATCAGTATTGCCAGATAGGGTAATTCAAAATCCAGAATGCAAATCTTAAAATCCGGAAAATTGTGGTTTCTTTTAAATCTAGAAAAAAAATCCAGAAAGGCTTCCGAAGGTCAGTTTTAACTAATTAAATTACATTTTTCTCACCCGAATTATTAATAACATTATTCTTCATCTTCACAAAATATATTTCAATAAGAAAAAGAGAACAAATATCAAAACATAATTAAGTTAATGAATAACAACTACTAAAAAGATAAAATTCGATATTAAGAGTGTGGATGTGAACCCATACCCAAATCTTTGTCACTTCGTTTTAATTAAGCATTTTGCAATAGTAAAAGAAAGATGAATGTAAAGTACAGACTACATAGTCCATTTATTTTACTGTTGTTGAGTAAGAGAAAAACGAGAAACTATACGCACGAATGAAGGAAAAATAATTGGTCCTTTGAGTCGATCAATAGAAGAAAAAAACAAAGCTTCCTTAAAAATTATTGATACATTTTTACGAATATTAACATTCAAGTGAAATATGATTGAAATAGAAAGTATTTGAAATCCAGAAAAACTTGCGAACTCCAGATTTTTTCTGCAAAATCCGAAGATCTGGCAACACTGACGCTGATCCATCCACATCCACACTCCGCCCAGTTGATTTCTAGTCCGATTCTTATTTCATCCGGTCAAATTTGTAATTCCAATTTTGACCGTAACATATATATTTACTGATAATAGAAAAAAGAAAAACAACTGGATAAATGTTTTACTACAGAGGAAAAAATCTTGTTAATTATACGAATAATATGCGGAGACAAGAGCCACATACCTGTCATTTAGTCGTTTATATATATGTAATTATATATATTATGTGCCCCCCTCCCCCAAAAAACAAAATCTACTAAAAAAAGAATTGAATATCTCCAACGTATTTTGACCGAATGAATTAATCTTTTTCCTAATGATGGAGAAGGATTCCAAGGTTTTATTTATGTGCGAAAAACTTAGTAACATCACTTTTAAATATAACTATACATTTAAAAGAGAAAAACTTACACTTCGTGACAAAAATGTAATCGATAGATTTTCAGTTCTGGTAATATGATTCAAATAGCCAAGTCCTTAAATTTGCTCAACTTTTAAAATAATTTATTTGGAATCTTGGAATTTTTACTAGTCTATCTGGTTTCTTCAAGGCTTATCAGGATCCTCTTGGCTTTTCTTATAAAGAAAATTTTCGAGAAATTCATGCGACAACAGTTAACCTGTAGTAGAGTACTTGTATAGATAGTGGTGACAAAGACACAAGTGCATCTGAAAACTATTATGTATATTGGATTTATAGAGATTTTTTCACGGATCATTTCAGTAAAAAGAATTTTCGATTTTCATAGAAAAATGACGATTGTAGATTGAAAATACTAAAAAAAACATCGAATGGCTATTGAGTTCCAGAGCTATTTCATTTTTTCCCTATTTTGACAGTAGTATCTTCATTCGTCGATGACAATACTCAAACTATCGTACTAAAATTATCAGCGTAAAAAACTCTAAAAAATCAAATATGTCGAAACAACAATTGTCAGATACTTGCGGTTCATCCGGTTGACTCCAATGATAGTACATAAACAAAAGTTGAGCTTTTTTATTTTAATGTGCATACTGTTAGATTTTGAGTGTGTCAATGAGTCAATGATCTATGAATAAAAACATGAAACTCTCCTATATCATCTGAGAAAAAAACTTAGCTCATTTCGTCAAAATACGATGGAGATATTCCATTATGTTTTTTGTAGGTTATTCTTGAGACACTAAGTATTTCTGACAGTGAAAATAATAAAAAAAGAACACACTCCAGAAAAATGTACTGCTTGAGAGGAAAAGTGTTTCTACTTATAGGAATGATGTTCGAAGACAAGAATAAAATGTTTCTCATTAATCCATGTATATATATATATATAGGATGTTTCATAAGTCTTGAGGCACAACACAATCAATTTGTATGTAGACAAAAAATAACTCCTAACCAAATGTTGTTATATAAGCCCTGAATACTCGCATCAGTCTTCGAAAGGGCATATTATCGGGTAATATTTCCTCTTGTGATATAAAAAAATATACATAAGAATATTAAGATCATTTTACTGCAATCGATCAACGAGATTTCTTTACAGATTTTGCAATACAGTGCTGAACATTCCTACATAAAATATAATGTAGTAGAAACCAATAATTATTTATCGCATTCACTTATTTCATGCTCATCATGATCCATTGGTTACATGTTTAATTAAGCTACGTATGTACTCGACAATCGGATTAAAATGGATAATATATATGAAACCTTTGTGCGCAGAACGAAAGACAAAGAACAATAATTGTATGTTGAATTATTAATAAATCATTTTATAATCTAGTTTTAACTCAAGAAGGTGATGATGATGTTACTAACGTATGACATACTGAAAATGTGCGAAAAATATTTAAAAAACTAGTATTGTATCGCAAACCATCTCGCTCTCCTTTACTTTTCTCTTCTTCTTTTATTCTCTCTCCTTGTTCTTATCTCTCCTGGTTGTGTATATAAACGTGTGCTTTTGATGGAAATGATACGATTAAGGATACGACGAAGCCAAATAAAGCATAACTCCATCAGTGCTAACAACTCTTCTATCTAAAACTGCCACACATATGACCTTCCGATTCACTGAATTTCATNAATACCTTGAAATGTGAAACTAATTTTGTTTTGCTGCCATGTTCTTACACTAATCTTTCAAAATGAGATGTGACACTTTTAGACCGCATTCGCTTAGCTTCAAACAGACTACACGCGATACTTCTAAATCTTTTCTGCATTCAGTTAGATTGCTAGATTTTCTAGCGGACTCTACAACTTTCTAAACTCAAATATAGAAATTGCATAGAAAACGAGAGTAAACTCTATATCTTCCTAAATTAAATATAAAATTGTATTGAAAGCACTAGCGAACTCTTCATCTTCCTAAACTTGATACCATTCGAGCTTGAAAGTGCAAATTGTTAAATATCAGAATTTATCATTTAAAACTTGAAATTTAAATTAATTAAGTTTTTGTAGTTTT